CGATTATTGAATTGCGAGATTTATGAATGCCATTGGAAGATCTCGAACTAAATTTTAATGATAAATTTATTTTAATTTTAATGATAAAATATATTACTGGCCAATAGTTTGAGTAGCTTTATTTTTATTTCACGATAGATAACACTAAAATAAAAGACATGAATTGACTATAAATTTATTCATCTCATAAAGCATATGCATTTTAAATTAAAACATATAGTATTAAAAAAAAATATTTCGAGGAAATGTAATTTACATGCGTTCATTAATAATATGTCAGTAAAATAATTTGTCAATATCATATATCTTTGTTATATATTTCTATTTAATTTCTTACTTTAATATTTTATTATTCCATATCGATCTCTAATATGGAGAAGATAAATATATCTCTTTACAAATTCTTTACATTTAAATACTATTAAAAATTCTAAAATCATCATATAAAAATAATTATTATATGAAGAAAAAAAATTAGATTGATTTGTTTTTTCTATTTTTGATAATATTGGCTCTCTTCTTATATCTTATATATATTGTCTTCTCTTTTGATGAAAGAACATTCATAAGATAATTTGTCAACTTCAAGCTTTATTTTTAAAGTACTCAAACTATTGACCGACAACATATATAATACCACATGTAAATATCTAATAAGCCTATAAAAGTCTTAATTACACTCGGCGATTGTTCGATAAACTCAGAAAAATGAAGTAAATCGGCAACCGAGAGAAAACATAAAGTTTTAACATAAGAAAAAAAATCACAGTTTTATTTAAGTCTAGATTTGTATGTATGTATAAGCGGTATTAAATAATTGTACTATTTACAATCTCTCGGAAGGCCTCGGTGCGACCTATCGAGCCACACGACGCGCTCTAATAATTAATTAGTCAATTAATGAGTGTATTCTCTCTCTCGGGTCATTATCCCGTTCGCAAGAGCATCGTTCTATCTACGAATGAGGGAGAGAATATAGCTAATAATATATAACACTTATATATAAAATGACGTGCACGCGCCCGTACTTGTGAGTACAATATATTTTGATCCGGTACTTTGACATGGGTGAGGTTTGCTCTATTATAATAAGGTAAAAGACAAGGCATTCTGTTGACTCGATGACTGACATAATGCATACGATGCAGCATAGCATATTTTTTACAATAAAACAGAAATTCTGTCTGAATCTCTTTTCCTTCTTGTATTACGCCCTACACTTTAAAACAAATCGCCAATTACAATATTAAATTTTCTATTCGATTCGATAGAATTTTATATTTAAAAAAAAGTAAAATTCATTAGCCACGAAATGACAAAGTACATAATTTTTATACAATATCTATACATAAGCATACATATATTAAACATCTTTATCAAACTAATTACTGTCTCTTATGTATCGCGAAAATTAATTATTTTTAATTTTGCTCCGCTCATATAGTCGCTTTTTAAAACCAATGTCTTTTACCTTATTACTACCTTATTAGCACGATAGTCGCTAACAAACATATGCGCAATCCTGATGCGGAGAAAAAGGGTTTCGCTTTGATTAAATGTACATGTAATATATGTATATAATGGCGCTCGCGAGAATATCTCGCATGTGTATAAAAGTTTATCTCTTTCTTCTAATATTTCGCTATTACTCGGAGTAAAGAATCACTCCTACGTGAGGATAGTCCTTCTGCTGATGATATTCTCATTTTGCACAATAAATACCACGAGAACGATTGGATCCTTGGATCAACTCGCGGTCATATATGTATATATTTGCAAGAAATAGTACAATCGTCATCGTACGATATCAGAAACTAAAATTTCGAAGATGAATTGTGCTGGCGATTGAGAAAATTGTCTAGATCATAAATTTTATTAAATACTTTTTTAATAAAGATATATGATTTTTCACTTTAAAACTATTTTCATAATCGCGCAAACACAATTCTTGTATTTGATATAAAAAATCTAAATTATAAATTTCACAAAATCTAGATTTTTATAATACAAATTATTTTTTCTAATCACGTGTAACACGTGGATTTTAGAATATGAATGATACTCGCTTCTATATATAGTTTTATATATAATTCTGCATGGGCTTTCAGTCGCGAAGACAGAAAGAAAACATTATTTTGAATAATAAAATAAAACATGATAAGTAGAATTTTTACGCGTAATATTGTATATGAAATAAAATGTCGTTTATCATTAAATATGCCATTAACATGTATAATTGGAAACGCGCCAACAAAGATCGCAGACTAACGATTTACTAATATTAGATATGAATCGTGTTTTTTTTACAGAATATATATAATATTCTGACAGCCTCAATATTACATATATATGTGAGCATTTATTCGATGCTCTCTAAATGCTCGATATACATCGCTTTCGCGCTTATAACGACTGTTTTTTCTTTCTTCCTTAAAACTTTAACTCATCTGTGTTTAATATGCGACTATGCCTTATACACGCCTTATATACATCATGTATTCGAATAAAATTAACAAGACATGAATATGATTTGTATGACTCGTTCATCAACATTTTTTACGGATATAACTTATACGTTTTTGCGTACATATGTCATATCGATTATCTATATATACACTAATTATCGAGTCTAATTATCAAGTATCCAAAGTATTGTTCGCTTCTGCGAAGCTGTATTTATATATATTCGTGTCTATTAACATTAAAAGAGCCAGTTATTTTAAATAAATATTTTATCGTAATTTCTCATTCAAGAAGAGAAAATAGATAATAAAAGAAATGCAAAGTTTTATTGAATAGCAGAGATAAATTTTCTACGATTAGCTAACTAAAATCATTGGTATTGGGCTCTTCTAGTATTAATTATCACTTGAAAATTATCCGCATTAATTACATCGGCATGGAAAACGAAATTTTTGTGCGACGGATGATACACGCGAGAACACAGCGGCCTTCAAGAGCAGATGTTCATTAAGAGTTTTACTAAACCGTTCTTTTTTATATCTTTTATTATATATAGATTTTCGTATCAGAAATCATCCTCGGAGAGTAATAGTGTCTTGAGTGAACACTAGCATTATCAAAGCCATTTTCACTATCGAGATGAAACGATGTTATCAGAGAGTAAAACTCATGAATGAACATCCAATCGAGCTCGAACGAATTCCTCTGTTAGATTATCTTACTTAGAGCTAATGAATACGCACGGACGCGTAATGAGATCTCCGTCTTATTATAATTTCTTTTTTTTTGTTGATAGTGTCTCTTTCTCTTATATTTTTAGAAGCACATCTATTATTATCGTAACCGCATTAACGCGCTACATTTTATTGTTAACTAATATTATTACTGCTGCGTTGCTGCTAATGCTACTAGTATTACACAATTGTTAGCGTTTTGTTACTGTCAATATCATATTAATTATTAATTACTAGTATCGCCAACGATCAACGTAATCGTTGGCGATATATTATTAATCTTATTATTGTTATGGTTATTATTTTAACGTTTATTATTATTTATTGTTGCAGTTGCTGTTGTTTTTGTTGTTGCTATTATTGCGAGCATGTTTTTTTTGTTCTCAGTGTGTTACAGGCTGCGTGTAACTCCCTTGGTCCTGGTCCCAGTTCCTGCTACTTTGCTTGTGTTCGCAATGACGATCGAAAAGGATGACTGTGTCCTTACGTATAGTGAGGGATACATTTAATCAATTAACGCAATCGTTATCATCAGACCGTACACATTGTCGAACATGACTACAAAACCGAAAATCTAAATTCTACGAATGTACATAACTAAAACACTGGAAGACTTTACAACGCCAGGAGTATTATTCGTAAATTTAAGAGATCACACATTGTATAATTAGGGATACCATCTCTAGGAGTCCTAAAATCATAGGACTGCATGTATATATACATTCTTCTTTCTGTACATGTGTTTCACAGATGGACACATCGATTTTATATTAACAACAGTTGAGAACCGAAAGGCGAAAGTTATTTAGATTTAGGACATTGCAAGGATCAATACTTGACGATAAGTCGCAATAAATTATAATCATTGTGATCCTGTTTATCTGGTACTGGTACAAATGCAAATTGCTAACGTTCGTAATTTAAACAATAGATCTCAAAATTATGTTAAATCAAGAACGATAAAAAGAAGAAATTAATATCTCTATACAGATCCATTTGTTTCATCGTACATTTTAGCGCAACACATTGTTTTACCTGAGATATACGAATTAATCGTTATGTATATAAAAAAAGAAGACATTATAATATGCAAATGCACACAATCATCTTTCTTATATCGAGGGTTTTTAAAAAGGATTGAGTAGAAAACGTTTGATCCTTCGTCTATTTCCATTTTGTTAGATATTTTTTTAGGACGTCCCGATGACAAAATCAATTGTGTCTTGAAAAAACAGTGACGCCTATTCTTCGGCAACGTGCAAAATATTTTCTTCCAGATAGAGCGTCTAAGCTTGTAGCCGATATACGCAATTATGTGAGACAAGGCAGTGATTATAGCACGTGTGATAGTTTCTATTTTTTTCATCTAGCTAAGTTGCATCCGATAAGTTTGGTTTTTTAACTGATAATGAATCTGTTTAGCGATTTAGCACTATCTCCTTTTAAAGATTGTTTAAAGATAGTTTTCTACTCCCGTGATATATAAATGCAGAACGATCATGCGCGAAACGAGCTGGATCCAGTCAGATAAAACTCGTTTGTAAATTCGCAAAACGTTATACGTCAAAAAGTCTTAAAAAAGATGTATAGATACGATTTGACATTATTTTATGTGTACTATATTTAGTACATATTACTGGCGCAAAAGGTAGAGGAAAAAATCTATATATAGAGATTGCGCGGAATATAAAATTTATAAATATATAAAATATATATATATAACAAAAATAAAAAGTTTATGTATAAAGCCAATAAGATTTGCGAAAAGCAGATTCATCTCGTTTTGCGTTATCGCTCCTGAAATAGGAAAGAAAAGTTCAATTAATTCAGAATTGATGTTGAACGACGCTGAGGGCTGCGATTAGCTCCGAAAGCTTTTGCAAACGTTAACAATCTCCGCGTCATATTAATTTTCATATTACAATAATACTCGCTCAAAATAACGCTCATGTTTGTTAATGTTAATTAATGTTCGTGCCACGGCGATTCGGTTTAGTTAACGCTATCGTTCAAATAAATCGTATAGAATGAGCTAGGAACCTACAACGGCTATCTTACATATCTCAGAAATATTTCTAGTTAATTACGAATGCCTTCGGTTGCAAATAGAATCATTTCAATCGGATGTCACCGATTATGATGAGATCTAGTCGTAATGTACACAACGCACCCCGTCGTCCTTAAAGGACACGGCCGTAGAAAGTTTATCGAATGTACAAAGCGCTCGTCTTTCTCCTTTTCTCTCCCTCTCTCTGTCTTTCCTTCTTGGCAATTTTAGAAACAGTCTCTTGCAAATATGGAATCTGTCGCACCGTGCAGCAAATCCAGCAGATTCCAAACATTGTTTTGTTGCTTTTTATTATGTGTCTCGATCATATATATGTTCACACGTTTATATTCGTTCAGCTCTTTCTAACTCAACGTTGCTTTGTCTGAAATCACATTCATACAATGTTCTGTATATTGAACACATATAGAGAGCGTATCGTGTATGTGTCGTGTGTGTGTGTGTGTGTGTGTGTGTATTTACATTATCTATTATGTGTCTGTTGAAAGGAGTGCGTATTTGTGTGAGTGCATCTCTTAAATCCTATTACAACGATCATTTCGCGCTAATCTCTAGTATCTATCTCGAGTCCACCGTCTTATTACTGACCTCTTCCTCGGCGGTACTCGCCGGAAGCGGTTGTTGCGTTTGCACAGGAGGAGCGATTCCGCTCGTCGCCGTCGTGACTCCTCCGTGCGATGGGGCCGTCTGTTTACCGTACTTGACGGTATCCTGCGATCCGCTTTGCAATTCCGGTCTCCTGAGGTAAGCAGCCGCCTCCTTTTTCGGCGGTACCACGGGTTTATTCGGTGGTACCGGGGGCGGTACACCCCGCGAGATCGGCTTTTTCGCGAGCAGTAAACCACCACCACCACCGGTGGCGGATGCCTGAACAGCGGGGTTGACGGCGGGACTCGCAGCAGACTGGCCGACGTGAAAGCCGAGCTTCCCTGCTGCGGCTTGCGACGTCGTGATAAGCTTACTCGCGGCAGCTGCGGCGGCGGCGGCCGCGGTATTAACGGGAGCAGGTACAACCGGTTGTCGCTTGTCTACGGCCTGAGGAATTACAACACACAACCATGACCGATTTCAGAGCCACTGGAGATTTCGACCAAACTCCAGATCAAACTCGCCAGAGACAAGAGCGAACGTACCAGTAAACAGAAAACCACAGGGAATAGTAGAAGGGAGAAAAAAGGGATGAAAGAAAAAGAATATATACCATACCAAAGAACTAATCCAAAGCAGAGAGAGAAGAGACTCTGTAGAAAATAAAGACGAAATTATATCTACGAAAAATTGCCAAGAGAAGAAAGACATCATTAATGTTAAGCAACAAACGATCACAACTCGGGTGAGGACTAAAAATAAAAATTGTACATCTACTTCATTGTGTGGGCTGCTAATAAATATATATATATATATAATTGTGAAGATACAACAACACTTTTTTCTTGCATGTTCATAAATCAAAGAGGAGATAAGATACGAAGAGAAGACTTGAAACGCAGTTCGAGTTATACTAATCAAGAAATATTTAATTAGTAAAACGAAGTATATATGTGCGACAGATCTTCGACAGATAATAATAGAATATAGAAAGACTAATATAAAAAATAAGTCTTCAGTCTCCGTAGACTGTTTATTGAAATATTACGATATAACAATTCCATTTTGACCGAATATTGTATATTTACTACCTATTTATTAAAATATGTATATTGCCTTTAACCAACTTTAAACTGACAATAAAGTACGCATCAAATATGGCCTAACAAAGCTCTATATACTTTAGTAATAGCGATTACGGAATAGCAATTAGGAAGTCAAGCGTGGATAATTTTTTTGGCTCAGAAATAAAGCTCGGAAAACTGAATTACAATTTTGTTTAATTGTAGGAATCGGTCGATGTACACATGTAAAATGTGATAATAATAATAATAATCTTATATTTATACACAAAATAAAAATTATCGTAATAAAATATAACTCTACATAATGTGCTAACTTACAAGATCGATATAGTGGAAGTGTATAATATAGTATCGTGACTGTCATAAATAAATCGTGAACACAAATATAATATAATAAAATAGGCTTTCTCAAAATATAAATCTACCTTCGATTATTTATAGGATAATATATCTCACTTGTAGAAACTTAAGAAGTAATGGTTCTTAAATTTTAGTGCACCATTTGATACGAGTGATAAAGAAATAGAAGAAATAAATAAACCAATCCAATGTGACATATAGAAATCTTGTGCATTATAAACATATAATTATGTAGAAGCCAAATATAGTGTGTCATCTTTTATCAAAATGTTTTTTGTACTGTGTTACATATCATTATATGATTTAACAGCACAAAAACAATCTTCATTATCAGTCAAATGTTAAAACTACAAAAAATTTTTATTTTGACTACCAAACATATTTGCCTTTTTATATATAAAAAAATTAATAAATATATAACATATATACCTATATATATTACATCTGCATTTTTTAATTTAAAAAAATGAACCATATACGATTATAATCACGTAAACTTATTGCAGTAAATATATGACTAAGGTACATTTATGATTTAAAAGTATTAATTTAAATAAAATGTATAAGACTAGAAAGAAACTTATAAAGTGCTCACGTGATAAAACATTAATGGATAACAAATGCATTTCTATTGTAGATAAAGCTCTATTAGTGTGATGTAAAATATTTACATATTCATATTACTCATTAGTTAAATTTTTTTTGCATATTTCACGAATTGCAATGTTGAAGATCAAAATAAATCCCAAATTTAAAAAAACATCATTGAAGATGGTAATGTATACTGTATATACATTTCACCAATTATTAATCAAACTATAAGCTTTGATTTCTATATCAATGATACATTGCGCGTTATTCTCATAAAATTAAAATTTCATACACATTTTGAATTATAAAGAGCCTACTTATTAATTATAATTTTTTCTAATATGCATATAAATTTTTATTATTTAAGAGAAGACACAAACATTTTATCTTTTTTAATAATTTATTATCTATTTACGTAATGTGTTATTTCTTTACTACTTATTTTTAAATTAAATAATATCTAACACGCGACTTTACATATATATATATATATATATATATATATATATAGTCGAATTAAAGCTAATCTCTATTGTTCAAAACACAATACTGACTAAATAGCTGATTTCTATTCCGGTTCCAACTAAATTTTTCTACTGTTATATATATATAAATTATTTATAAATTACTTTTTTTCTCTTTTGCTCTCCCTTTGAAAAAAATATTAGTATAGAGAACAGTATTTCTTAACGTTCGATATAAAAATATCTGTTGTGATACTTTGCATATATAAATAGGCTCTGTATAATCTTTAGATTAACGTCGAGTGAGTAGGGAAATGTGGATAGGTTACCTGTGTATCTGGAGGAGCTGTAGACTCTCCACCTACAGATGTTAAATTAGGTGTATAGGCGACCCCACGAAGTGCCTGTCCAGGTGTTACTGATCTAGCAATCCCAGTTGCTAAAGAAAAAGAATTAATAATTAATTAGACATTATCTTATAATTTAATTTTTGAAGATATTTTGTGAAATAGTTATAACTGATCTATTTCAAAACTAATTATAAATTATTTATGCATAGTTATGTAAATTTATAATTTACTAAAAAATTTCAACTTTAGATTTTATATACATGTATCTGTATATTTGTCACTTATTAAAATTTAAATTGTTCAATGTTGTATACATTGTTTTTATAGATATTTAGAGATATTTAAAGAATCTTACTTGGTCCGCTGACAGGAACACTGGACACTGTGGCAGTGGGTTGGACAACTTTACTACTAACCATGGGTGTCCCTGTACCCAACACTGTTCCTTTCACTGAAAAATATCAAAAATTATAAAAGACTCGATAATATCAATCACATGCACACTGATTTAAAAAATGAAATGAGTCACATTATTCATACTGTAAACATTCTATTATCAAACTCTTCCTTAATATCTATAGTTTCTATTTTTATAACATTGCATGCAGTACATACTTGCTTGTGGTGCACTAGCCGGCCTGAGTGTCGGCATAGCGACTAAATTCGCTGGTTTTGCAGGTGGCGGTGGTGGAGTTGCACCAACTCCTCTAGCAGGACCACGAGCCTGCGACTCTTTCCACGTATCCATTTCGACTCGCAACTTTTCCAATTCCGTCTCAAAGTCTTTCGCCCTCTTTTCCTCTTTTGTAAGAGCTTGCCGATATTGTTGCCTCTCCATATCAAATTGTGCTAATTGTTTCTCCAATTCTGCTTCCATCTGCAGTGATTTCTTACTCTCTTCCTCGAGGCCTTCGGCCATTGAATCTATCCGTACCTTCTCTTCACTGAGTATTTGAGCCAAATCTTCAGATCGTTTTCTCTCTTCAATATATTTCATAATAATCTTTTTCCGTTCTGCCAACAGAAGCAATACTATTTGCTTTTGTCGATTTTTCTCCTCTTCAAGATGATCATTAGCCTTTTTTAATTCCATTTCTAATCTCTTTTTTTCTTGCTTTTCTAGTTCCAACTCCTTCTTTAATCTCGTTCGTTCTTTTTCAAGACCATAAGTGATATCATCACCTTGAGCAGTATCGTGTTCATGTTTCCGCTTCTCCTCCTCTAATTCTTTAATCACCTGAAAAAAAATTTCTTGTAATGAAATAAGAAAACCAGAAAAAAAATAATTATACATTAATTTTTAACTATAATATGTTACATTTATAAATTTCACATAACAAAAATAAAACACATACTGATCTATGTCTAATTTCAGCATCTCGAAGGACTTTTGTCATTCTACATTGCGCTTTTCTCTGCTGCATCACCAATGCTTCTAGACTAGCTACTTGTTGATCAATTTGATTTCCTTCAACCCCAATAACACCACCTACTATTGCAACATCGCGAGCTAAAGCCGCGTGTGGATCTGCAGTACTGGTAAGGTACCGGGAACTTAGAAGATGTTTCATTTTTTCTGACTGAAATAAAAATTATGATTTCACATATAAGATAGAAAAACATCATATAACAGTATCTTAAAATGAAAACAAAATACAAAGAACTTGTAAAATATAAAATAAGTCATGCAAAAAATACTTTACACATTTGATTGACATTGTTTGTCGATTTGTTATATCTTTGATCTTTTACATTTTTCCTATAAACATGAGCTTCAAAATTGCATAAAAGAATCTTAAATCTTATTAATTATTTATAATACCTTATGGTACAGTATATGTAACTTTGTAAACTTTACCGTCCAAACTAAAGAACTTACTACGATTATATTTGCAAAATATATGAAATATACTATAAAATACACAAAATATATTTAACAATTAGTTAACAAATTATATAGTTGTAATTACTTTTAATGCTGCTATCACAATGTCTCTTGCTTGGAGCTCGCCCTCTAGATATCCCAGTAATTTCAGCAAATCAGTTTTGCTCAATTCCATCTTTGGATTGCGCTGCAAATACACAAAGCACTCTTTTAGTTATATATACATTTGTATTTGTAATTATTCCAGTATTCATCTTATATCAACAATGATACTATATAATTAATGTAGCTTATGTAGTTAAAGAAATCCAAGAATCTACCTTGAGAGTATTAGAAGAACTCTTGTCCAACGGCTCAATATTGTTGGCCTGCTGCTGCTGTTGAGACTGCGAGGGGGATTGCTGGGCGAGAGTCTGCGTCTTCGCTGCCGAGATGGCGGCTGCGCTGGTCTGAACGACAGTCCCGGACGACGGCGCCGACGTCGACGGCGGTCCGTTGGCCGTCGTCGCCGTCGTGGCGCCGGTCGAGGCGACGTTGACGGTACTCTGACTCTGCGATGCCATTGCGCGCGATCTCTACCAAGGGGTATCTACCTCGTCGACAGCGATGATCCCAGGCGAAGCGTTTCGTCGTCGATTTCCTGGTCGGTTTTCGTGTTCGCGAGAGCTTCTCAAGCTACTCCTGCGTCGATCTGCCTCAGCCCTCGGAGAGGCTCCGCAGATTCGACACGGCCGTCACGGGACGCGCGAGCACCGCCGCCGGAGAGCCAGCGGCCAGGAATGCTCGCCACATCGCCGACACGACGGAGCCGCGCGCGCGCGCGTACTTGTTTGCACGTCCTCGTCCGTCCCTCGGTCTTCGGATTCCTGGGTCGTGTCGGATCGGCGCGGCGCGACGCGACAGCGGCGTGGCGTTTCACGGCCGACGAGCACGCAGTTTAACGCGGCGGCATCCGGCTCGGCGCGGCTCGGCTCGGCCCCGCTTCGCTTCGCTACGCTACGCTTGCCTCCCTCTTCACAAATCGAGCGCACAAAGCGCAGTCCATGGCACGGCCAGCGAGAAACTCGACCGTCCCCTCGCCCGCGAGTCACGATCGATCGATATATCGAGGGATCGAGATATATCGATCTAACCTTAACTTAACCTCGATTGCAGGACGAAATGTCAAACCTCTTTTGACGTTTCTGCACTTTTATCGTATTTTAATATTTTCTACTTCACTTTTAATTAATAATTTCATCGGATTATTAGTAAATTTGAATTTTCTACTTGTCAAAAGTAAAATAAAAATTGGAATAATAATTTATATTATATTTATATTGTTTTACCTGCACCATGCTACACTTTTTTCATTTCGAATGGAACAAATATATAACCAAACATCGTTGAGAAAGAGAGACGAAGGACAGTGCACGGTAGTTGGAAAGAGAAATATCTAATCTCGTAATTCCAGCTGTCATCTGGAGATGTCAAATTACGCATGAGAAACACGATTAAATAAAAAGGGAAATAGAAAAATCGCGGATTATCCGTGCGAGTATTTCCCTATCTCAGCCAGTTCACGCACACGCACAAATCGAACTCGACGCACACTAACTTGTAACGACACACGCGTATATCGGCCCACAAACCCCTATCGGCGTAAAAGTTGCTTACGTCGCGCCGATATCTCACGCTGTTACGACGTCGATGACAGGACTCTCCCTCGCGTTAGGCAGTCGCATATGGTTCCGCGCGCCTTCGTTCCCGCGGATAGTATGTGGAAGGTGCTGCGGGAGCAGCTGGTCCTGATATAGTACGACGCAAAATGGGCAATCAGGTGACGCGCGCCGGCCACGCTTCCTCGCACAGGAAGCTGGAATCCGGCAATCATGCGAGTGCCGCCCAGAACCCGAACGCAGCCGCGGCCGCCACCAGGAGCGAGCCGGATCACCCTGGCTCCGTAACGCAATTCCTTCCGATCGAGAATCTGGCCAAGGTAGGCCGGATTTGTAATCTCGTCAGAAGCACTGGGATATTTTTTCCCCTCTCGAACAAGAGTATTGCGGCAATCGGAGCGATGCAAAGCAGTCCTTGGGATCTGTTTTCAAACACTGCCGGCAGTTAAAATTGCTACAGCAGTTTGAAAAAAAAACATGATTGCAAAAAGATTCTCAATTGCTGATTCCTTGGGAATTATCTCTTACATCTTGTACTATTTATATCAGCACAATTTGCAGAATACCTTTTTTATATATTTTTTTGTGATTGTTTTTTAGTCACCGTATCATGATTTTCTAAATACAAAGATTCTTTTATTTCAAAGTTTGATCTTCTAGTCAAATAAATACAGAAATTGTGATTTAGTCAACTATTCATAACAAATACTTACATATGTATTTTAATAACATCTCTCATCAACATTATGTAGTTAGTTGTGTGTTATAAAACTAAAAATGTGTATGTATATTTTTTTTACATTATCATATAAATCATATTATCTAGAATATATATTTTAAATATGTATATATTTTGTGCTACATAATATTAACATATAGATGTGTATTTTGCAGACATTATCGCATCTTGCCCATCAAGAAGAACATGTTAATGGCATTACCAAGTCTGTATTCGAAAAGTACTTATTTCCCACTCATCCTGAATTAAGCGAGAAGCTCTTTACTTACTTACATCATAATGCCCATGCTACAACCACACATATAAGTACAACAGCTTTTAAACAGCAAGCTGAGAAGTTCTTGTCAGTTATGAATGATCAAGCTATATTAGAGAATTACATCAAGATGTATTCCAACATAAAAGAAGGTGGCAATGTTACTCCAGAAACATTGAGAGCATTATTGATGTGTTGCTATCAACTAGCGATGGAAAATAATAGTACCAGCATGTGCCTTTATTCGGAACAGATAATAAACGCTGTCGTTGTTTCATGTGTTAGTAAATTTATTCAATATTTAATCAAATATATGTAACTAAAATTTGATCACATCGTACTTGTAAAAGTATAAATTAATAGTATTTAAATTGAATAACACATGCTCTAAATTGAAATGAATATAATATATTGTATAACGACATATAATTATTAGATCTTTAATTATTTTACAGTTTCACGGTAAAGTCAGTTTATCCACGAATTACGTGAGCAATTGGATCGGGCAACATTGTCCACGCATGGTGCATGGTTTACAGCGATATGTGGTACATGTACTGACAACTGCTTATCGCAATGGTAAGGCACTCTTATCGAAGGAACAACCACAACCACCTATCGAGATACTGACGCCTGTGCTGGAAAAATCAAACTTGGAATTTCCTCAAACAAATTTATTGCCCATAAGCTACGTTTGGTTGTTGTCGTGTACACTGCCACAGTGTTACCTCCAGGTATGTTGTCGCATAATCAAGTGATTGATATAAATATTGATATATCATTATGATGCTGTCTATAAAATATTTAAAAATTGATTATTGTCCGTCTCTATCGCTGTATACATAGTTAAATCTTCGAATCTATGTGCGTGGTATATGTATGTGTATAGACCAACGATTCACCGAAGGACATAACTCACGCTTTGATAGCCAGAAGAACAGGCAGTATTTGTCCAAGGCATTGGACGTTACTGTACAATAGCGGAGAGCACGGGGCTGGAGCTAATCGCTTCCTTCATCATGTATTAGGTTACAGAGGTCCGACTCTGCTAATTATAAGAGCCGCTGGTGTAGAAGGAGACGAGGAATGTCCGACGTATTGTATATGCTCGGCGGTCGAGTGGCGAGAGAGTCATCTTTATTGGGGCGACGAAGACTCGATGGGCATTCAACTGACTCCGTCCTATAAAATTATAGAAAAAGGTGCGAAGATATTATACTTAAACACGAACATCAGAGGCTATCCACATGGTTTGCGACTAGGTAGCGACCCGCGTTCGCCATTTATTAGTATCGATGAATCATTCCATTCGGTGTCCATCGCCGGTGCACCTTATCGCATCGCCAGCTTGGAAGTCTGGGGCTGTGGCGATGCTAGACTAAGGTAACATCATCTTACAAATATGCTTTTTAAAGCTTTTTAAAATTGAAGCAAAAATATAAGACGTTATTGATTTATTTGCAGAGAAAAACAATTGGAGATTAAGAAATGGCAAGTAAAGGAAGCAGAGAAACAAAGAGTTGTGAAATTAAGCGCCAGTGATTGGCTGGATCATCCTGATCGTTACTTACTGGAGTTGGCTGGTAGAGCATCTTACAACGAATCTAATAATTAGAGCGAACGAGAACACACATACACTACTGCAAGTAACTGGTCATATTTTATTTTGTACATATGTATATAGTATCAAAGATATATTGGAGTTTCTCTGTACTTATATAGCACATGTTAAAAACATGCGCATAAAATGTGATTATGTGATTTGTGTGAAATAAAGGAACTTATGCTTGACGTACTTAAGCACAAGTACCAAGGTTTGTAACAATGTCTACTTTCTTTAATATTTCCTCCATGCCGAATACTATAAAAGATTAAAGATTAATATTGAAAATTAGTAATAAAATTCATTTTTTTATCAGGTCACTTATACAAACGAAAAGAACATACATATTTTAGATTTAAAAAATATATATTTTTTTTGTATAAAGTCACACATTCATATCTCAAAATATAGTTGCAAATTTTTAATTATATTTTAACGATTGTACTCTTTATCATATTTTACATATACTTTAAATAATACTGTAAATAGTATTTAAAAAAGTGAATTTTTAATTTATTAATATTTATTTTTTATTATTAAATTATATCTTTTGATTACTCTTTGAACTTTTTATCATTACTACTAATGTCAATTTTAGAAATAAGATTTTTCCAGTCAAAGTCTTCTTCGCCATTGCGTAAACTTATAACATTTTTTTCATCAATGACGTCAAACAGATTTTTAAACGGCGTATATCTCATCAAAGTGACTTTATCAGCAATTATAATCAGTTTATGTCTCGCGCGAGTAATAGCTACAGTTAAACGTCTCTGATCGTCTAATATCCCGAATTCTTTCTTTGTGTCACATTCGATACTCTTTGTACATGAATATAATATAACGTCCTTATCGCGTCCTTGATACTGATCAACAGTGTTCACTTCCACTTCCTTGTTTACAATCTTTTTCAGTAAATTTATATGAGCATTATAAGGTGCAATAACTCCTATATTTCTACCGTATACACCTGCCTCAGTGAGCACTTGAACGAGGCGCAGGATAATAGCTGCTTCCCAAATATTGGAACACACCTGATCGTGTCTTCTATTGCTAGCAGATTCTACGTTCAAGTTGTAAGTGCTACCAGTATCGAGCACTATCACTGAGTCATCCAAGTTTCTGGAAAGTGCGCTTCTGATCCATCTTTCGCAAGAAGGAAGAGTTTGCTTCATGTTGACGCCAGTTAAAGTCGCATTCTCCACTTGCTTGTTGGCCGCCGCCAATTTGCCACAGTACGTCGCGTCGTTGGCCAGTCTCATGATTCTTCCGTTCATCCTATACTGTTTCGACAGATTGACAGTATTGTTGTCGCTATCGAGCCTGATGAATAGGGACTCGTCTCCGCCAAGTCTCACCGCTGTTTTATTCTTGACAACAGGCGGCAGCTGATCCGGATCCCCGACGAGAACAAACTTCCGCGCGCTGTACAACGGACGCAACACCGTAGGCTGCATGATCTGCGCGCTCTCGTCTACCACACAAATGTCGAAGGTGCGTCTTCTGATAAGAGCGTGATACGCGCCGTAACAGGTCACGCCGACTATTCGCTTGCTGTTGTAAAGCGTCTCCAGGTCCTCCGGCGAGTTGCAACTCGCCAACGCGTATTCTTCAGTCTTACACGTCAACAGAGGATGTATCTGCTTCGTCGAGCCTAAACGTAAAAAATCAATGTTACGTTCTAGCAATTTTAACAGAACATTATCCACCGCGCTGTGCGTGTGTGCAGTGATCAACACACTGGATCCCAATGCTTGCAGCAACTCTATCAATGCTACTAGAGTTTGCGTCTTTCCCGTGCCCGGCATACCCTTTATCAGAACGTACTCGTTGGCGGCCACCACCTTCAGCACAGCTCTCCGTTGATTTTCGTTGAGGTCGCTTATTATTTCGGCGCTAGTCGACACGACTGAACGAGGCAACTTCACAAACGTAGCTGGTATTCTGTCGATGACGATGCGCCGAAGTCTGACGATGGCTTCGTCATTGTTCAACAAACCAGCTACATTCGCATAATTGAACGTGGACAGACCTGTGGAAGAGTATTTATCAATATGAAACATAGACTGAGCGTTCTGTCGCGTAACGTCCTTGTCTAACAAAACTGTGACAGTATCATGCAAAATATGCATTATAAATCCAGCGGCTATGTTAACTCTTGTGTCCGTACTGATGATAACATAATCATTCTCAGCGAATGAGCTGCTGAGCACGTCGTTTTCAATAGTCTCGCCTTTGATATTAACACGTGCAAACTTATGTCGATATCTATCGTCTTGCTCCATCACTTTGTTTACGACTTTCAAGTTACAGATGCATGTTCCTCTCATCTCTCTCTTTTCCGCACTCATTGTCCATACGTTGCTTAAACTGTTGTTATTGTTCTCGTAAAGTTCTTCCAGTTGCAGTAACGCGATCCACTTCATAACGTAATCCAAGTGACTAGATTTAAAATCGTTCAGTAGTTCCTTCATTGGCGTCGTTAATAAATGCGATGACGACAAATTCACGTTTGAGTCCCTCGTCAGATACGTGCAACATAGAGTTTGATAAGGACACGTGATGCATGCACGATGATTTATCGGCTCAGGCAGTTCCATCGTTTTTAAATCCGACTCCGAACTTATATTCTGAAAATCTTCAGGCTGTTTGGAAAAATAATGCGCCAAGGTATTCCGCAGCAATATCAAATCCCTCTTCTCGTGATGACTACTTTTAATTTCCTGCATCGCGTTTTCTTTCAGATATAATAGAAGACCAGTATCGATATCCTGATCTCTAAAGCCCATCATCATAAGATAGAGAATAACTTGGCCCTTATGTTCCATCGAGAAAGAGACTTTTCCAGTCTTTACTTCCAAAGGCATGATTTTTCTTTTCGAATTGATTTTCACCTCCGCTGTTACATCTATCCTTCCCTTTATTCCTAATTTCGGTATGTAAACGTTCTCCTCAATATCTTGTATATTACAAATATTTCCTTGAAAATTGTTCTTCAAGTTGCTTATACATTGCTGCTTGTTGCCCTTGATATAATGTTGAATGAATTCGAAAATTCTCGGTGCGTATTCCCTCATGCGTTTTCGACACTCTGCAAGCGACAATTCCGATGAATAGAGATACTCTATCGTGTTTCTTGATTGTAATATATTGTCATCAAGCAGCTTGATCACATCGGATAGTGTGGAGATGTTTTCCCGCAGCGCCTTCTGTAGCCACTGATGAACCAAAGATCCTATGGTCATTACAGAATAATCAGCATTCAAACTTGGCAGCGACTCTATCTTCCTAAACTTCTCGGCCAACACCGCTCGTCTATTGCAAAATAAACCGCTCGTTATTGTCGTGCCTGATATTAATATATCAGGCTGCGTGATGATGAAACCATTATTGTTATCAATAATCCACTGCTGCAAATCTTTCTTAGCTTGTATCATGACAATATCATCAATTTTCACTTGCACATGTTTCCAAAATCCAGAACATGCCACAGTATCGGTTTTTTCAGATTCTATATGCTGTATTGTTAGAATAGTAGCTCTCGGTTCATGTTTGATATCACTTATTTTACACCTTTCCAAAGTAGTGAGATTAATCTGCCATTCCTGATCAAATAAATTATCAAAATCATCTTCATCCATAAAGCTTTGAAAAGATTCCGTTTGCTTCAAATGGTGTGACTTAATTTCTTTACAGGTAGGCATTTCAGCAAGTAAGGATGACTTTAATGTAGTAGTATTAAGATCTCGTATCTCTTTAAGAACATAATTATTATCCATGACTTTTGAAGTATTTTTAATATTTGCAACATTTTGTGATGTATTTATCTTATGTTTAGTTTTCACTGAATTTACTTCTTTATCAACTTTTTTTAACAGTCGTGCATTATCACAAATTATTTTATTTTCCGTAGACTTATCATATGTATCTTCTAAATCTTTTGTTACAGATAATAATGAATCTTCATGCAATGTTGCATTTTCCTTCAATATATTGTTACTTTCATTACATTTTTTCTTAATTCTTATACATTCTTCTTCAAACGTGTCTTTATTTTCTTCTTTTCTTTTCTTTGCAACCAAGACTGGAGATGAGTTTGAACTTGATACAGTCTTATTGTTGCTTGAAAGCTCAGGCTTTGGTATTTTTGTAAAAAATGATGATATTTTTGTCTGAGATTTTTCAACATTATGGACAGAAATCTGTAAACAAAAATAAGCTTTAATAGTATTTTATCATATAATCCTTTTTACATTTTTTTTATATAAACAATTCGTTAATATATTTATATTCTTTACTATATAATTGTATTAAAAATATGAAGTCTAATATAAAATTTAAAAGTAAAAATAAACTATTGTCTTGTAATCTATTTATCGTACAGAAAACGATATAACATTAATGATTAGATGATTTGAAAATTATTAAGAACCTAACATAGTCATGTAGTAATATTTACATATATATTAATTACCTTCTTCTGTGACAATTGACGTTTCTTCATGGTTACATGCAATAAGAGTAATCTTTTATTGTATTACATATCATATATCATTATCAGATATCATCTCTTATATCAGAATATAAATTATGACAAAACTATCATTCCCGCGCAAACATCTCGCACGAGAGTCGCCATTTTAAAGCACGTTTCATAAATAATTATAGATAAACGTGCTTGACTAGAAAATCGAACCTGCCATGAACAATCATGTAAAGTTAGAAGTGTGTTCAAAAATTTTATTTGTGTCTAGTAACATTCAATTGACCAATCAGGATAAAGAAATTTTTGCTCCTGATTGGTCAATTATACGCTATGTAGGATTTCCGAATAAATATATATGATCTGCAAATATATCCTAGAACATGTCCTAGATATAATAAAAAATTATTTTAGATATAAGATAATCAGAATAATTATATGAATTTACAGTTAATAACACTGTTATTTAGCATTAAAACATTATTATAATTATTCAAAAAGCGCATAATTGGAAATATAAATTTCGTAAATATTTTAAATTTATAAATTTAAAAATTTCTTTTTAATAATTAAAAGATAAACAAATTATTTCAATTTATATATTTACATTATAATAATAAGGAAAATATTGCGATACATTCTTATAGTCATTAATATCGCGTTATTTTATAAAATATCTTGTTTAGTCATTCAGATGAAGATCCTTCGCCACCATATGTGCAGTCACATACATCATCTTATTTTTCTTGCTCAAGTATACATCAATTGCTCTCTGACGCATCTCTTGCCATTCATACAAATCTCGAAATATAGGACGAACAAATTTCATGCGTCCTTGTTCAGTGGCAAAGTCCAAAGCATTGGAAACTTTTTGTTCCCATCGACTTTTGATACATAAGCGCAACCAAACAAACCTGTGAAAGATAGATGCATGTTACATTATGTAATTGTTAATTAAAATATTCATAGATAGAGACGCTCATGTAATACCGTATCTCAGAATTCTTCACCAAGTCCAATTGATAAGTATCTGCCATCAGCTGTATCTTGTCAAGTGATAAAATAGTAGGTGATTTGTGCAGGCTGGTTAAAAATGTTACTTTCTGACCAGGAGACAAGCTCTCTATATCCGATTTGACGAAAGGTGAAACAGTACTTTTGTCCCATTGAATCCATCGTTTTGCTAATTCAGTACATGCATTTGTCAAAGTCTTATCATAATCGGGTATCACAGGTGGCATACCCGGTTTATGAAGCCATGTATCCCAATCGACAGAATTTAGTAACTAAAAATCAAGACAGACATTGTCAATAATATTAAAAAAAATTAGTGTTAAAACTTTATACATTATTTTTTTGTAAAAAAGCAAGTTACCTCGACTTTCTCCGAAAAATACTGATATAAATAATCTTTCCAAATATCAGTCTTTATGCTTTTGTACTTATATGTATTCAAATAAGATTTTAGAAATGGTTCAAACATTTCTGGTCCGCCTAAAAGCTGCTCCAAATAAAATAGAAATGTATGTCCTTTTTCATAAGGTACAATCGAAAACGCATCATCAGGATCGACACCAATCAAATTTGGTATCAAGTTCGTTAATTGATTGGTTTCACCAAGATTTTTAATCTATAATAAAATAATTTCAGAAAAATAATATATACAGTGAGCATGCAAAGCAACATAATACATTATACTCTAATAACAAGCTTAATCCATCATATTTATTTTTAATTATTTCCTTGGTATTTAATCAATATTAAATACATACCTCTTCCCTCAAACTTTCAATACCATGCAATGCTTCAAAGTGTCTCATTTTTTCACCAAACATTCTTGCATTAATTTTCCTCTCTATAAACATAGTAAAACCTTCATTCAACCAAAAGTGTTCAAAATTTGCATTTGTAATTAAATTTCCTGTCCAGCTATGTGAGATTTCGTGAGCAATGACACTAGCCAAAGAACGATCTCCAGCAAGTATGGTTGGCGTCACAAATGTCAGACAGGGATTCTCCATTCCACCAAATGGGAAACTTGGCGGTAGCACTAGTATGTCATACATGCCTGTACAAATATATTATTCAAAATATAATGAAAAATAAATTAAAAAAATGATTGCTTAAATTATAATTTATGAAAAAAATACACAAAATAACTTTACCCCAAACATAAGGACCGCACAATTGTTCAGCAAGTTGCAACATTGTTTCAGCTTCTCCAAATTCGTATGCACCTTGATCAATAAATTCTTTTTCAGCCCAGACTTTACTTCTAGGACCAACTTGTTTTGACACCAGTGCACCCACAGCAATAGCCACTAAGTAAGATGGTATTGGTACTGGCTGATGGAATTCATATATTTTTTTGTCTGAACTCTCTGATACTTTATCCAAAAGTGCAGACATTACAACTGTAAGATCTTTTGATACAGAAATCTAAAAAAATATAAAATATATATCAATGTGTGAGATTTAAATTAAGCATTTTTCTATTTTAATGAAAGCAATATTTGATTTTCCTTACTAATATATTTATAAATTATCTAATAATATCACATATTTTTTGTTTACAAAAATACAAATTATATATATAAATGCTCATAATTATATTTAAATTTTACCTTAGAAGAGTATGTAGATTTGACAGATGGTGTATCTTGGCAAGGAAACATGGATCTAGCATGTATAGCCTGAAAAATATATGAATTTACACGATATATATAAGTTATATAAAATGATTGATATAAGTTATGAAAATTATATTTATTTTTACCTGACATTGCGAAAATAAATAAGGATGTATACCACCAGCAGTTTGCTCAGCTGTTAACCATTGTAATGAAGTAGCATCTGGGGATGTTTCATACGCAATCTCAATTTTACACCTAAAAAAATAATGTATTAAATATTTGAATTGATAATAGTTTTTAATATCTTTTCTAAAAGCGTATACTCACTTAGTATTATTATCTCCACCAGTCTGTGGTAGCTGAACAACCAATTTACTTCCAAATTCAACTTCAGCTTCTATGGAATGTTTTAAATCAGATCCATCGACAGTATTTGTAGTATTTGATATGACAAGTTTGCGATTATCTAAAATCTAATTTTTGTGGATATGCATTAATATGAATGAATGTATTAATATGAATAAAAATATATTCTTTTTAACATAAAATTTTTCCTCACTATTTCATTAGCTGAAGATGTCTTTTCTATATCTAATATTGCTTTGCCTTTAAGGACTTTTCGATCAAAATCAACAATTAATTCCAGATGTGTATGAGTTACAACTGCAAGGTCTGTAATAATTAAAAATTTAAGTCATATATATTTATATATAAATTTCAGAGTTTTGTGTTGTATTTTAAACAAATTTTATATATTTAAAAAGACATTAGAGAATTATATCAATATGCACATTTTAAAAATTAAAAAATTATCAAAGATCTGAATATACTAAAGAGAGGTGGACTTTTTCATTATGTTTTCTTTGACAAAATAATGAATAATTTTTCAAATTAAAAGCATTACTAATTTCTTAGTTATTTTTATATATTTAATATTGATAACTTAAAAAAAATACCTGGCCTCGCATAAGAGCTCGGATCTCCAGGACTTAGAGCCATTTTAGGAGTGTTTTATTGTCAACTTTGATGAATAACTTTGGATGATGATTTGTAACTTTAGGCTCTTCAAACCTGTTAATGAGATAAACTTGATATCGTGTCTTTTTCTTTTCCTTTTATAGGTATTGGTTTCTCTCTTTAATGATATATCACTCTTCTTGTCCTATCTCTCTTTTTCCTTATTTGATATCATATCAATTTGTTTGTCGGTATAAAAGTATAGCAGCTAAAACTGCCACGAGTGCCGGATCCTTTTATTATTTTAAGCGTTCAGCAAACTATTGTACACACAATGCAGCACTCTCATTCGTTTCAATTCACATCTTCTTTCTTAATAAAATTAAATGTTAAAAAAATACAATTAAATGGATTAGATGTTTTTAATATTTCATGTCATTAATTAAAATAAAATGGCCGCATATTCCACAAAAGAAAACAGATTGAATGTAACAGTCATAACTTATTAATTGTAATGAGAATACATATTTCATATAATTACTTTATTTAAATAATTGTCATTTTTTATAGTAAACGTATTGCAAAATAAAATCGATTTTTGTTTTAAATCATGCATGTATTAATTGCGTGGAAAATACAAATATAACACATGGAGCAGTACAAGAGAAAAAGTGATCGAAAACAATAAATGAGATAAAAATTAGAGTGGATTTTTTAGGATAAGAAAATACATTAGGATTTTTATTCAAAATAAGTGAAAAAAACTCTGAAACGCGAGTGGAATTTAGATCTTATGCAAATTGCGTAGAAATCGGAAGTCATGAAATGCCATCCAATCGCTTTTTGTCCGGAAGAAACGAACGTTGATTGGTCGTATTTTTCCCCAAATTATTCCTTAGTATTTTCACTAGTAACTTTTAACTATGGTTTACAATTATTCTAGATGGTCTCGTGAATTATCGATCGAGACGATTTACGCGACATCTTTCCGACACAATGACGCAGTAGTTGCGCGCAGTAGCGGTGCGCAGTCTGGTGCGCAGGAGAGTCGGGAATGGAGCGGTGGTGGGGGTAGAGAAGTGGGAGAATGGAATGTGTCGCGAGGTGGGAGGAAGGTCACAGCAAGCGCGTTTTGATGGCGCATTATTATTTAATTATTTTGATAATTTTGATCGAATTGTTTTAATTAAATCTTAATTATTATAATCATTTTAATTCATACGTACGATGTCCAATACAAAAATCTTTTGTTTTAGATCTAAAATATTACATAAAAACGGACCTAACATGGACCAATAAGACACACCCTTGAACTCTTGTGTGAATCCGCCTTTCTTTCATGTCGCACACTTCGTGATCTTTCTAACCTCTCTACCTCTTTGCTTTCGCGGCTGTTTGCGATATTTGCTTTTAAGAGGGAGAATATTGATAATATTGTAATTTAAACTTCATTTGGAAGTCGCACGTTTTATTATTTGAATCTACTTTGCGTACACCTTTAGACGAAGGTAAATTTTTAAGTTTTATTAAAAATATACTACACCTTGAGTTAACAAGACACAGTGAGACATGTCAGCCCTTATGGTTTCTGTAGTTCAAGATTGATCAAGATAAATCGTTATCTGTGCCATATATTTATTAAAATTATTTATTATGTTTGTCTTAAGTTTTTATTTTGGATCTTTTAATGTATTAAGTTTTGCTCGTTCTACTAAGAGCTACAGTTTTAAAAATATACTTAGTAAATATATATTGCATTTATTATAATATTTTCGCTTAATTATTGCAGAGAATTTGACATCATGAGTCGTTTCTTCGCAACAGGCTCAGATTCTGAGTCTGATAGTGCATCTGAGGAGGAGCAGGTGCAAAGAGCACCAGCGACAGCTTTTACTGTATGTACCATAAGATTGCAGTAAATTTTTGAAAATATATTTTTACATTTTTAAAACATTATCACAATCTTATTATTAAAATAACATGAGATATTTTTACAGTTTAGTGATGACGAAGAAGAAACAAAGCGCGTTGTGCGCTCTACAAAGGAGAAGAGATATGAGGAAATTGCTAATCTTATAAAACTTATTAGGAATTATAAAAAAATCAAAGATATGAGCAGTATGTTAACTAGTAAGTACTTTTAATTTTTAAATTTTTCATAGTATATTATTAAATTAATAAATTATTGAATCATTGATTATATTTCTTAATGAAACTGTGATGAGAAAAGATTCTTTCTTTCTAAATATTTATAATTTTAGGTTTTGAGGATTTGATGCGAGCTTATCAAAAAGCTTTACCAGTAATTGCAAAGGAGGAACTTGGACAAACTCCACGATTTTATGTTAGATGTTTAGTGGAAATGGAAGATTTCATTAATGATGTATGGGAAGATCGTGATGGACGCAAAAATATGTCCAAGAATAATTCCAAATCACTTTCGACGTTACGTCAGAAACTGCGTAAATATAACAAGGACTTTGAAGAAGATATAGTCAAATTCCGGGAGAATCCTGATCAGGATGATGATGAAGAGGAAGAGAGAGGTTTAATTATAAGATACATATTTCTCATAAATGTTTTATTTAAAAATTTCATCTTAATATAAAAAAATGATTTCTATTCTAGCTGAGGAGATTATGGAATCTGAAGAAGAAGAGGACAGTGCTGTAGCTTTCAAGAAGGCAGGGTCAGAGGCTAGTGAACCTGATGTGGCTAAGTTTAAGGTCTTTTATAATAAAATTTACTGATATAGCACATTGTTTCAAATAATTTTTATAAACTTCTTATACTCATCGGTTCTATTACAGAAGGCTGCAACTGATGGTGAAGAGGGTAGCGAAAGCGAATCTGATTGGGGCAGTGATTCAGACAGTGAGAGTACGAGCAGTGACGACGATGGCCAGTATCAAAATATCCGTGAACGTTTTATTAAAAAGTACGTTCTTTTAGTTTATAATAAAATCTAATAAAAAATGATAAAAGAATAAATTTTCCAATATATCTTATATAATAAAATGGATATTTTTGTGTATAGAGTTTCGGCCCAAGAAGATGATGAGGATAAAGCGAAGAGAAAGGAACAACGAAAAGAACGCAAGGAGAAGGAGCGAAAGAAGAAACGCGACGAAGATGATGGTGAAGGAGAGTGGGAAACTGTCAAGGGCGGTGTGGCTATCCCCTCCGAGAAGCCAAAGATGTTCGCCAAGGATGCGGAAATTAATACTAGTGCAGTGTTGAAAAAACTTTCCGAGATAATTGCAGCTCGCGGTAAAAAACGTACTGATAGACGGGAGCAAATAGAACTCTTGCACGAGCTACAATCGATAGCTGATGCACATAATCTCGGCCCGGCTGTAGCTGTGAAGATTAAATTCTCTATTGTGTCTTCCATATTTGATTATAATCCAAAAGTTTCTGATGCTATGAAACCAGAATATTGGTCCAAGTATGTATTTCTGTAAAGAAATGGAAAAAAATATATAAATTGAAATTAATCTCTTAATACATAAAATGCAAAAAGCATTTATATGATAATTATTAATATTAAATATTTTTTTGCAGAATACTGGAACGTATTAATGAAATGTTGGATATGTTATTAAATAACACAGATATGGTAATAGCAGAAACCATCATGGAAGAAATGGAAGAGTTTGAAACAGCGCCGTATAAGATACACGGCTGTGTATTGACATTAGTAGAACGTCTCGACGAAGAGTTTACTAAACTGCTGAAAGAATGTGATCCGCATAGCAACGAATATGTAGAGAGGTAATATCTTTTAAAGAATTAAATTATATGTTAGAGTTATATGTATATATTACTTATCTATTTACAAGAAAATATTTGTTTTCAGATTGAAAGATGAAAAGCAAGTTGCTGCCATAATCGATAAAGTGCAGGAATATTTAGAAAGGCAAGGAACTGTGTCCGAACTTTGTCGTGTCTACTTGCGTAAAATCGAACATTTATATTACAAATTTGATCCAAATGTTCTTAAGCAAAAAGAAGTAAGTATTTTGTAAAATATTTGTAGGTGCAAGTTTCCTAATATCCTACCAAAATATTTTATGTGCTAGAATGAACTGGGATCGGATGTAATTACATCTGTACAAGTCATGGAAAAATTATGCAAATACGTTTACGCTCACGATAACACCGATCGTTTAAGAACACGCGCAATTCTTTCGCACATTTATCATCACGCACTTCATGATAACTGGTTCCAAGCCCGCGACTTAATTCTGATGTCGCATCTCCAGGAAACCATTCAACATTCTGATCCAGCTACACAGGTTCTAACATTTGTATACGCGCATTTTCACCTTTATTGTTAAAAAAGATATAAAATATTTATTTGATTGATTAAATTTTTTAGATTTTATACAATCGTACGATAGCTCACTTAGGATTATGTGCATTTCGTCATGCGAATATTAAAGATGCCCACAACTGTTTAGTTGATTTAATGGTGACGGGTAAGGTAAAAGAACTTTTGGCTCAAGGTCTGCTTCCGCAACGACAACACGAACGCAGCAAGGAGCAGGAGAAGATTGAAAAGCAAAGGCAAATGCCTTTCCACATGCACATAAATTTAGAACTCCTTGAATGCGTATACCTTGTCTCAGCAATGCTTATCGAAATTCCGTATATGGCTGGTATTTATATTTCATTATTTATATAGTTTGTGTATATTAATGCACTCACTATTATTATTAAACATTTATATTCTTAAAGCAATATAATAAATGGAAAATTATTTAATTCTAGCACATGAATTTGATGCAAGGCGAAGAATGATTTCGAAAACGTTCTATCAGCAATTAAGATCCAGCGAACGTCAATCGTTAGTGGGACCACCGGAATCTATGAGGGAGCATGTCGTTGCTGCTGCAAAAGCAATGCGTAATGGAAATTGGTCCGCTTGCAACAATTACATTATAAATGAAAAAATGAATGCAAAGGTATAAGCAATATATGTATATATATATTAACTGTTCTCTCAAATATGACAATCAGGAGTAATAATATATATCATATACAATATACTTTTGCGCACATTAATAATTATTTTTATTAAAATACGATAGGTCTGGGATCTTTTCCATCAAGCAGAGAAAGTACGATCTATGCTGACACGATTAATCAAGGAAGAAGCGTTGAGAACTTATTTGTTTACGTATTCGCATGTTTATGACTCAATCTCGATGCCAAAACTTGCTGACATGTTTCAATTAAAACGACCTGTAGTCCATTCTATTATCAGCAAAATGATTATTAATGAAGAGCTTATGGTATTATACAGATAATAATAATTATTATTTACATAGGATAATATTCTGGAATTTATATGCATTTTTTCCCACAAATATAGGCATCCTTGGATGATCCGACAGGAACTGTCGTTATGCATCGCAGCGAACCGAGCCGTCTGCAATCTTTGGCTCTGCAACTCACTGACAAAGTAAATAACTTTGTCGATTCGAACGAACGTATCTTTGAAATGAAACAAGGTAAATACAAAGTACATAATTTTTCTAGAAAATCATTAATTTTTTCGTCATTTACTTTATAACATTTATATATATATATTTATATAATATTTATATTATAATAAAAATTTATTATAATTTATACATACATACATATATATATATATATATATATATATATATATATATGTTCATTATAATATGCAGACACACACTCGCATTATAAAAATGCATAGCTTTACAATTAAAAATTAATCGCGATTGATATTTATAATAAAAATGTTTGCAGGCAACTTTTTCTCAAGAGGCAACCAGGGCAATTTCCGCGATCGTCAAAATTACAATCGTCAAGGGCAGGATTGGGGTCGACAGAGGCGCGATCGCGACCGTGATCGTAATCGAGAGGAAAATCGTAATTATTAAGTAAGATAATAACGTAAAATAATATTAAATTTTGAAATTTATTCAAATTTTTAAACATAATCATTGTAACATTTAAGCATTCATATATAAATAATATCGATAATAAAATCGATAATAATATATACAATATCTTACATTACCGATGAAGATCACAAAAGTCTTCATATTTCTTGTATTCTCTGGATAAGTTTGTTACCCGTTAAAATGGTGTCGGACGCAAGGATGAGACGTATTCCTGTAGATTTTTCGATGAGTCGACAGGCCGCTATTTCTGCGCACGTGAGGCCTCCTATCACGCAAATTACGACCATCTTTGGCGATAATGTGCCCCGTGAACCTTTTACAACACAATTTGACAAATTTACCAAGTCCTCGAAGCTGCGAGGATCCTTCTCTTGATTGGATACAATATTTAATATCTGTGCCTACAATATATTTATTATCTCATCAAAAATACAAAATTAAGTATATATATTTTTATAATATAGAAAGAAAATTATACAAATACGTACTATGGCAGGTATATAAGCGTTGTTGAACACATAACTAGGACAGATACGACTGTTCTGATCGGATCGTTTAGAGTAATTTGGTAACATCTTTAATTTCTGCGCATTGTTGCTCCATTCGCTATTTCGGTTCGGTAATTTGTTTAAAATATTTTCGGTTCTATGCTTTAACAAACCAATGGTGTGTAATTTGTAAAATAATGGAATATGCTGATAACCGTGAGTATGGAGATGCAGTTTTTGGATATTTTGAAGCTCACTTTGTGTAATACCATCGGTAGTAATGGACAACAGACATAGAAGACGCAAACATCGTAACGCATGCTCATCTGCAAGAAAGGTATAAGTTCGTATACTTTGATTGTAATTCAATTATAATGTTGATTAATATTACTCATTCTATTTATCTTGATTGAATTATGTTGAATCAATAATTAAAAATTATTATAAAATGATTATAAATGTTATTAATCTTGAGAGTAAAGAAATGCACCTATATTTCTCTCTATATAACTCAGACATTCTTTTCTGTCTCTACAGTCAAGCATTAGTTTTTCGATTGTTTGCAAGGCTTGAAACTCGGAACCCAAAGTATCGGCGATAGTCTGGCACGCAGATATATGAAACGCCAATTGTTGAGTCGTATCTCTAGTTTTTTGCAATCTCGTCGACACATATCTCTCCATTTCAGCCAATTTCATCGTTTGTACGGCTTCCTGTTCAGCTATAATTAACCGATATTGAGATAACATTATCGAGATATCAATACAATTGATATAATAATGACTTGGAATAAAGATATAATACATTTTAATGATTTAGCCTTTCCGTGTAAAAGTGGGAAAACGTCGCTGCAAGGTGTATCTCTTACTTGTCCATAGATCTGATCTTTATCTGGGTCCAATTTCGCTTGAGATTTTCCCAGCATTGCCGTGCCGACATTCACCTCTGTAACTTCGTTCAACAGGCCCGAATATGTGACAGGTGTCAAGAGAGTCGTCGTCAGATCGAAACTCCTGTCCATCACGATTAGAGCACCGATCTCGTTTTCTAAGCTGGACGAACCTAAACATTCTTCCATAGATTCCATCAGTTTGCCCACTTGCTGACTATGCTTGCCGACAAGAAGTGAGAATCTTGGTGAACCTAATATCAATTGCAATGACCACAAGTTGTGTGCTAATGCTCGAAGAAGACTGATATCCTTATGGTAATAGAGATCAATGAACATTGGACTTTCCAAGGATAAAACGTTTCCATCTAGTTTTACGAACTCTACAGATAGTGTCTGCAATCTAACTAACTCAGCCAAACCTGAAAAATAAAAGTGATTTGACATAATTATTAAGATAAATAGAAAGGGTGGGTGATATAATAATAATTTGCCGACCTTCCTCTTCGACTAGATTATGTAACACAGCTGGAACAAATGGCACGACCAACAAATGATGGCACACTTCGACATGAAGCCTGGTAACATGAGATATTTCAGATTGTATTTGATCTAGAACCCTCTTGCATGTGATTAAATTGTTAGATACTAAAAATATTCGTTGACTGTTTGATGGTTTTAATCCTTCTTCCATCTTATAGATTTTGTCCACTCCATATCGCCTAAATAAGATAATGCAATCTTTAAGAATCTTTAATAACAGAATGTCAGTATATGCATATAAAAAATATTTATACTTTAATACAGTCACTCCTACAAAACTATCCAGTATCTTCATCAATTTCTGTTCTATTATCAGATCTTTTGTGCCTGGAATGCTATCCAATATATCTACAAGCTTCCGCTGACTTATTTGCTGCAGCACGTTCAATTTATCATCCAGCGTAATATCCATTTTTTATAATTTCATATTATTTATTTATAATAAATTATGTTTATGTATAATACTTTGATACAAAAATCTATTATCCTTAGGTATTCTCCTTATCTATAACTAATACACACAATATGACAGATGATAGTGAGCCACGAGATTCCGCGCACGTGTGTAGTGAGTATATCATTTATAGCAAAAAAGGAGTTAAAAAAAGAATCGGAACCGACTTATACGCGATATGATCCTCTTCGTCTCCCGCCTACCTACGCCTACGACTCGTCGTGCTCCAGGTCGTAAGACACGAGTCGTGAGTCGTGACGCCACGAGCGAGATTATTTAAAAATGGCGGACGCGTCGTCTTCCGACACTACCTCAGACTATTGCAACGAGAGTTTCTCTGACATTACGTCGGAAAAATCGGAGTTCGTCGTGGTGGGACGCAAGCCGTGTCCGTCGCATCGACGTAGCAAAAAAAATTTTCTGCAGAAGCTGCTGATAAGGGAGGTAAGCCGGCCTTGATCCTGACGTGAGCCTGACCTGAGCCCGCATCATGACTGACAGACTCGTTTTCGGAACTGTCACGAAAAGCGGATTATCTTATCAATAGAGCCTGTAATGCGACGAAAAGCGAGACATTTAAATGGGCTAAACAGCCCATTTTCCTCGGAACGAGCTGTCAGTCCGTGATTAAAAAATATGCCGCTTTTTCTCAGAGATGCACAATTTTTTCCCTGGAAAAAAAATATGAAAGAGTTTATTTAACGCTTAACAAATAATGTTCAGCGTGCACTTATTTATGTAATTATTAGTTATTAGCTATGCTAGATTAAATTATTTTTCTTTGCAGACAAGAGGATGTCTATCAGCGCACAATTATGCATCAGAAGAAAGACTGTTTACAGCTGTACCTAAATGGCGACATTTGTCTCTTTTACACGTAATTCCAAAATCAGCGCTCGAAGCAGGGTATATATTTGATAATAATGATTTATTATTATCAAATTAATTTAATCTATTTCTTACTTATTTCTTTCTTGAGCTTGATTTAAATGAGATAACAATAGAAATCAAGAGATAAATAAGCTGCACGAAATGTAAATTTTTTGAGCATATCTAATTGTCAAATTTTAACTTGCAATGAAATGATATTCATAGCTTGTAATTTAAGTAAACAATATGATTGTATAATGAAATTTTATTTTACAAGGCACATTGTTATGGGATTGACTCAGTGCGGTCAGTTTCTGCTCACATATACATACATGGTGGACGTCAATAGTAATACGTCCTTGTTTAAATACCTATTACACTGGTGGGCCTTCACACCAAACCATGTCGCTCGCAAAGTTGCCGAAGTTACATTGTTTGGCAATTATTCAATTTATAGGGAATTAAGCATAGTTATATCGCAATGGCCAATGGAGCGGAATAAGCTTGTAATACATGGCCTCTGGTAAGTTTTAAATTAAGTAGAATAGATCTCTAAAAAATTGAAATAATTAGACATCTAATAATCTTCTCTCTTATACTTTTGTTTTATTACAGTACAAATTTCTTACATTTACAATCGACTGATAGAGCATATTTAACTATAACGACGGTACCTTCTCTGGAGAACTGCAAAGATTGCCTGAAGGTCGCTGCGTCATATGAGGAAGAAGGTGAAGGTAATGAATAATTTACAATCTTCCCGTAGAAAGATAATATCTTTGCATATGTGTGTATGAGTAACATATATTTGTATAATATTAATTGGAATTGTTAATCTGTTATGTAGAATTAGCTGCAAATTGGGATTGCGGCGTACGATGTAATTGCTTGCAACACGGTCTCACGGTTCACACCACGTATGAAGTCATCTCGCCGTATCCGAAATTTCGAGCTAAAGTGTGTTTGAATTATTGGAATCACGTGGTGGTCAATACGGGAAACTTCCTCCACGTTCTTAAAGTAGATTTGAATATACCCGAGTCTAAGTCGAAGAATCAAAAGACGTGCGATAAACCGAATACCTCTGATTCCATAGTTCCGGATACAATCCCATTGGATATGAGTGACGCCGAGGAGACGGATTACTCGACGAAGGCAGAGCGATACGAGAGTTCGGACGAAAAAGTAGGCACGCCAGAATGCCCGCTTGATCGATCCCCGAAATGCGAATCCAGTCTGGAACACGACTTTCTAGACGAGGCAATTAAGTTAGACCCAAAAGTGGGACGCGATTTACCGTTAAATACCTCAAGCAGCAATCAAAGCGACTTTGTCTGTGATATAACTTGTAAGTTTACCGCTGCCGATGCTTTAAATGTTAAGTTATGTGAATGCTCGGATACGACCGAGCAGTGCAAGTGCCGAAATAATAGCAACAGCAGCCCCGTCTCCCAGCGGTCGGGAAGTGGTGTCGAACAAACGGCCATTTCGGTCCGAGACAAGATCCTGCAAGATTTTTGCGAAGACACGTCGCAGGAACTCAATATCGGCAGCGATCTGATCACCCTGGTGAAACATCCGTCGTGTTCGCCGCGCTCGACGCCGCAGAGGCTGCCCGCCGATCTCAGGACGATAACAGCGACCTGGTCGTCACCGATACTCACCCCGCCGTCAGATATTCTGCGCACTCGCAATTCGGAATCTAGTCATAGAACCCAGATCCAACGGACTAACAGCCAACTGACTAGCAGCCAACAATCCAGTTGTTCTAGTTCGTCGCAGTCCACAACTTCTTCGGACAATTCCGTGGCTTCCATAAGTTCGCCGTTGCAGTCCGTTTCAATCAGTAGCCCGTCGTCTTCGTATTCGTCCCGTTTGATGTCGCCGCCCATCGCGACCAGATCTTTTCGTCATCCGAGCCCGCGCAAGAGATCGAATCTGCATTCGCCTCCGCCTGTTGTCAACTCGAATCAGTCGACGAGAACGACAAGAGCGACACACAAACTCACCCTCGAAGCGGAAAAGGCGTATGAGTTTACAGATGAAACGCAAGAGACGACCTGCGAGAAGCTCAGCTCGTATAGAAAACGCCGACTTGCCGACAAGAAGTACGAGTTTTGCGATGAAACAGAGGACGCGGAGAATATAGTTCCTTTCAAGCACATACGCGATCAATCCAGGCACCGGGGCGCGTGCTCTATACATTTGATATCCTCTTCACCAGCAATATCGCCAGCGGTTTTGCCGAACGGCCGAAGACACTGGTTCGACTTGGATCAGAACGAATCGGACGAATTGAATCTTGCTCAAGATATAGCCAACGATTTGTCGAATCTTGAATCAGGTAAAGCCCAGAATTATTATTAAAGAAAAGGCAAGAGTCTGTATAATTTAATAATCAACTTTGTGTTTCTCTTTGCTAGCTGAGAAAAATGTACTTCGACCGTTGAATCAGAACCAACTGTCTAATGGAAGCGTGCGTGACAGAGACCGTGTCGGCAAGTGTTGTCCGAATTTTTCGCCTTTGGTTCCTAAGAATAACTTGCAGTATCCTTCGATAAAGTGCACTGCACGTTTCAAACGGAACTACATAGAGCTCGACGACGAAATGATATCAGTGATCACGGATGTAGAAGGTATTTAAATCTCTTCCTTAAGTTCACTCTTGGAATTTAATCTATGAATGAATTACAACGCTGTAAAAAGTTAACATTATACATAAAGATATTTATACAGATGAAGAGACAGGAGGCTATGTAAGTTATCAATGTGTACTTCCAATGCTTGTACATGGTTCTGGATATGTTCAAATGCAGATGATCAGTAATACTAAAGCAGAAAAACTGGTATTTATTATCTTGAAATATATATTCAAATTTCCTAATATTTGTTATTTTTTAGAAGTACTTTAGAAAAGATTGAGATAATTAATAAAAGAATAATTACAAATAAAATATGTGCAAATATATATAATGTTTGATATATTTTCAGATAGTGCCGTGTGTCTCTATAACTCAATTGAGTTTCGATATCGAAACTTTCTCTCACCATATAGCGGAATGGATTTGTACGAGATTCAAGAAAAACTATTGGCATTGCAGCGACTATGACATCGAAATAATCGATGTATGTGCGCTTACTGGCGACATTATATGTTTACATATAATGAAGATCCAGGCAAGTGAATTATATAGTCAAACACAATGGTAAGCATACATGCTATATATATTTTTATGAATATTGTATATACTAAAATATATTAATATATATAATTGTATTATATATTAATGTAAATGTTAATATTAATTAATCGTGATTCCTATATTGTATTATTTTACACAAACTTTTACATATTATATTGTTTTCAAGTGTCGTTCAAAATTATAATACACAATTTTGATAAATTAATGCAATGCTTTCAACAGTACACAAGAAAGAAAACAATACGAAGTTGGATGTAAGTTTACGTGGAACATCGAGACGAGCCAGTATAGAATAACAGATGTATTGCCGATGGAAGAGGTGAAACCGGATTTCTGGAAGCCGACTCTTACGAATGTACCGAATTTTCGTAGCCAGGTATGGAATCCGACGCGACGTTTGGCTACGCAGTTACGTGAAAAGATTCAACAACCGTACGCGCATACCGTACGTTTTCTGCACAATGAGATGAGTTTAGCAGGTTGGTAATTCTTTGTTTGTGTAAAGGAACTTGTTCATTTTTTAGAAACATTTCTCATGTACATAGAATCAAATTGCAGGCGAATCTATCACCAAACTCACCGATCTAGATAATCTGGTGCAGTTTTATCTAACGCCAATAGAACGAACGAACGACACCTTAATAGAGTGAAGAAAACACAGAAGCCATCTCAAACTTCATTGCAAACAATAATTTATTTATTAATACAAATTTCGCCGTTTATGCTAATTTATGCGCCTAGCATATCACGGCATATAATGTAAATAGGAAATGTATTCCGCGTTTTACTTATGACAAATAACAAAGAGTACCTTCTTTTCTAGCATAAATAATAGTCACAAGGAGAAGAATATATAAGCGCCATATATAGAATTCTCACTACGTTTTTTTTCGTGTTGCCAAGAGCGTAACGATTAAGTTGCGACGTGACTTGTTCATAACTTAGAGATACCATAGACTAAAGGTACTAATTAATGATACAACGAAGTTTTAAGCGTTTTGCTCCACAATTTGTAAAATTTATCAGCATTATAGTATATTCTGACATTAATGCTATCTCTACGCTATCATGGTAACTGTACTTTGGTAAGTAGTAGATGTAGGTGGCTAAACTGATTGTCAATAAATATATTGTAATATGATTCAAAGAAAGAGAAAGAAAAGAGATAATGGCGATAATATCGGCTCGATGCTTGGTCCCTAAAATTATAATTCACGATTTAAACCCCTAAAAAAAGAAGGAAAATTGGAAAATCTTTCCTATACATGATATATACTGAAAGAATTTGCTCCCTCACATACATATACATATATAAATATATATATATAGGACCAAACGCATACAATTACATACTTAATTTTTCATTATCACAAGATTATTGTATCATAAAGGCGTTTTCCAAATAGAGTTTTGATATTAGCGTATTATTATATATGTACATAAATGCGCGATTTTTATTATCATTAAACGCGTTCATTGCAATTCCGTATTATTAAAGAATTACCATTACTGTGTGGCAATTTTGAGATTTCAAAGAAGTGATTTGATTTTAAAAGCAATGATATCGAAGCTGACAAGATAGATTGTTCTCTGGATTTGCAATAAACTTTGTGTCATTATTTAATAATAGAGATGCTCTTGAACTGGTGTATTATTACCTTTGTATGTGTGTAACGAGTATTTATTCTATATATATTTTTTTTTTAGATTGGTGAAGAAAGACTAGCAATTTAAACAGGTATTTTAACAGGCGGTCCTCCGTTGACATCAGATCCGATGCCATCCAATTTAAGGCCGGCGAGAATTTCTTCCCACGCGTTCATGCACTGTTGATAGTGTCTGATATGTCGATCCGCCATCGTAATTAGCATATTTTTGAGATCTTGTTGTTTTTCTACGTTCCATCTTTGCAGATCGCTTCGCAAGTTCTCATTTGCGCATTCCACGCGATCCTGTAGTATCTCAGCTTGCTTAGCTAATCGCGGAATGGTTTGGCCGAGTCTCTCCAATTTTTCATCCCGAGATTCTGCTTTCCATAAAGATCCACCCCAACCTTGTGCAGGTACTGTGTAGTTTGTATTTCCTACCAACTAAACAAAAGAGAAATACAATTGCCTCTTTCAATATGAAGATGTTGATTTAAAAAAATTTTTAAAGATTAAAAAATAAAATGTAAGATTAGTACCTGATCTTTTTCTAATCTCTTCTTCGCTAATACGTCAACAGTTAACTCATATTCAATCTGCATCGAATCACGCCGGGACAATGCATTTTTGACCGCTTCTATATACGAGATGTATTCACGTTCGTCGTTAGGAACGTTTTCCAAAAGTTTCTGATGAGCTATTGCATTAGTTTCTATTGCCTTAGCGATTGCTAATAAAATAGCCGCAAGTTCCGGTTCTGAGGTTGCCCACAGTGTGAATATGGGATGTAATTGATGAAGCTCCACTAAATAATCTATCACAAAAAGAAAATTATTAAAAGCTGGATTTTATTAAAATAACAACATGATATTTGAACATAATTTCAGTTTACGCACCTTGCCTTTCTTTATGTATACGATGATTGATTTTATCTATGGCCGTCAGTTTTTCACTCAATGCTGTACAATAGTCCCGAATCTGCTCAAACTCCAAATGATGCTGTTTCATTGTATATGTAGTTGCCATGTTTTGCAAAGAATCTGTCACTTTCCCGAGCACATTTCCACGATTTTTACGATAAACGAGAAATTCCTGCATACAGTAATCATAATTTAGGACTTAGGACTATAATATAGCAGACATTGTTTTTATACTAGGGCTATACTTACTGCAGGTTTAGTAGTGAGAAAAATATGGAGATTCTTGTCACAACTGAGAATAGGATGATTCACCACTCTGTTTAGAAATATATGCAAAAGCTTCATGCGTGCTATGATAAATTCTTTGGAGTAACGATCCAGTTGAGCAAGGAGTGTATGTTTGCCTGGCATTGGCTGTAATGAAAACCAAGATTTGTAAATCTTTTGTCTGTGATCTCTTAATGTCTAATCATTGAAATATTCCATGTTTACAATTATATGTATATTTTACATTATTATCAAAAATAATAGTAAAGACTTACCGGTATAATATGTGTCGGATAATTATCTACTAACTTTTGACGCAGCCATATGAAATCATTGTAGCGCCTGCGTACTACATATTCCCCTTCTTCAAACTCTGGACGCGTAGTCTATAAAGTACATTATTCCATATGTGATTGCCATATATTAATATTACAGTTACATGACTCAAATCATATTTTGTTATGGTTCTATTTACTCTAGTCGTTATACGGAATGTAATATACGTCTCCAAGGTTTCCAGATGCTTTTGCGGATTGTCCACTTTTACTTGCAGATCTCGGGAGTCTGTCTGAAAGTCTGATATCTCCTGATCCGGCAGAGTAGAGAAGCTGTCGATAGAAGGAGATGCAATCTGCAAAAAAAAATATTTAAATCAATTTGCAGTAACTTTCCTTTTCTCTCTAATTTATCCTTCCTAACAAAGTTCACTATCAAAGTCTACATGCGCACGCGCGAGCTTATCGCATATGTTAATCACGTACATATAAATGCATGTGTGATAAAAAATGATATTTACTACAATTGTAATTTACATATCGGTCATTCTTTACTGCGGCCTCGACGTTGCCGACACGAGGCGCAAAGCGAACTATGAAAGTAAACTGTCAAAATGGATTCCAGGTTATGTTGGTCTCCCGTACCACGGAGCCTTCGATGGAGGTGCTGCAGTTAGACAGGAAATCGACGTCGCGACACTCCTGCTTGACGATCCCGCCCACCGCCATGGAGCTCACTTCCAGGATCGCCGAGTCCTCGGGACCTTTCCCGCCTCCCAGATTCTCCACCTCCGACGTTTCCGACGAGGTCATCATTTTTTTTCGCGACACTCGGACAACACGCCAGGTGATCACTTACACCACCCACCCTCGAGACATATGCGCGCAGATCCTGATGCGCGAACAAGGTGGCCGATGAGGGGGAATGCGCTTGATTATAAGTAATATATATTATTCCAAACTTTTGTTAATCAAGCATCGAAATTAGTGACATTATTACGTTATATATATATATATATATATATATATCAGATTATACGAGATCTGACTTTCCATTTTTATATTTTGTATTATTATTGTTAGACCACAGATTCTATTAATCTGTGGTTAGACGCATTTTTATGATTTCTCGAACTTTTGATGTCAGTCGAGAAGACTATATAATTCGATTAATCGAGCGACTGAAGAATTAATAATTAATAATAATTAATATTGACTTGTAAATTATTTTCATATGTTTTTAGAAAATGTCAAATTCGAAAATTATATATTGATTTATCGTTTTATTTCAGAGGAGAGTTGGGGGGTCTCGAACTCGATCGATCCGCTCCTGCAATCGATATATATCGATCATCGATTATTATCGATTCAAAATTCTGCGCCAACTTCATTGTACTTATCGGACCGACTCACATTTTTTGAGTAAAGTGCAATATGTACAATAATATATTTCAATGGATTCAGGTAAGGAATTTTATAATCGAACGATTAAACGTTATTTTGACAAATTCTATGTACATGAATTTCAGATTTTATGCCGACACAACGCGTTCAACAATGACAGACGACGTTGGACGTAAAAATAATCGACGAACGATCGGCGATTGTCATCGTCAAGGGATCGTCTCGCGCGAGTCTCGCGGTTACGGAAGATATTTTCGCGGATATCCCGTGGAAACGGTATCTCTGGAAACCGGCGACTCGAAGAATTTCCCGCGGATTCGACGATTCGAAAGCGCCAACAGAAAAAAGGAACGCAGCCGAGCGCGAAAACTCAAGCGCCGATCTTTTCCTGCGGAAAATTTCTTCCTGTCAACAAAGATGGTGGATGAATATTGGTCGGACATGCCTTATTATTTTCTCAGGAATCGACCGTTGTTCTGTAAGTAATTATCATTCTTAAAACATAATAATAATTTGCGCTCTCTCAGTGGCTTCAGCAAATTTTATACATTTGACAGCTGTCGAAAATGTGTCAGATTTATTTATTTATTTAAAATTCATTCTTTTTAAGCTTATAGTTTCCTCTTTTCTCCTTAAATTGCAATTATATATCGAGAAATAAAAATGGAGCGAAAAGTTTAGAAGCCAGAGAGAGATAGCAAATATGCGATCAAGTCCCTTGTTACGTCATTGTAGACGCATGCGCGCGCATCGAGCGCTGCGCGCGTCAAACGTCAAACGTGGCGCCGCGAAAGCCGCATTATGACACGCGCTTTTGCATCGCCGTGCGAGTTTTTTCCATCGACGAAGAGAGTCGACGCGTCATCTCATCATCATAATCGCGTTCTTCTCGCGGATTGGGACGACATGTGAGAGGACGCTTCGAAACAAGATACGTGGAATGAAATTCGGACCGCGACGAAGAGATCACCTGTGGCGCCACGCGCGACGAGTACGTTCCTGGTCGTGACGCGGTCAGTGATGCCGTAGCCAAGGCGACCGTAGCAGCAGACAAGCAACACCACTCCGGCCAGCCGTCCACAACAAAGTATAGAGGTTCGTCGAAGTGTGTCGCTCCGCTCTTTTCGCGCTTTGTACCGGCGCCCCACGAGCCGACCGCGGTTTCCTGGGTGACGGGCCGCCTTCAGGATCGAGGGACCGAGCAACGAGGGCGAGCGAGAAAAAGGAAGAGTGTGTGGGTGCGTGTGTGTACGCGCGTGTGACAGAGCGAAAAAGAAGTCGGAAAGAGAGGGAGAGAGAGAAAGAGAGAGAGAGAGAGAGAGAGCGCGCACCCGCTCGACGACGACGACGACGACGACGACGACGACGACGAGGAAGACGGGGAGACACGTCGTTCGGCCGCACGAGTGCGCCCGGGCGCCGTTGCGTTCGAGCACACGCTATTCATGAAGACAGGTGAGTGGAAAAGAGAGAAGGTATACGGGAAAGGACAGAGGTCACCAGATCCCGGATAGTCATCCGAATTCTCCGGTCGTTGTTCAGAATTTCAAATGTCGATGACAGGTGACAGAGACGTCGCCGTTGTTCTTTTCTGGCGATTGATATTATTTATAGACTTGTATACAATAAGGATATGCAGGTTTGAGGGGATACTTTGAAACTATCCCTCTATCAAAGTTCGAATTTTTTACAAATAAATGTACAGAGTTTATAAATTAACTGCTCACTAGAATAATGCGGTTTGACAAGTCACAGGAAATTTGTCTGTAATAAAAGTAATTTATGGAGCATCTTCTTGGATAGTTTATAAAATCTATTTGTTATTGGTTTCAATTAATTTTCTCTATATTTAAATACGTGTAAAAGCAAAATTAGAATTATATATTTTTCAAATCACATAGCTTTACGATGGTCCAGTTCTTTCTTTACGTTACTGCTATAAATTTTCTGTACATATAACGAATATTGATTGAACCTGAATATCATATTGGAATACTCTGTAACAGGGTCAGACCTTTGCAGATCTCTGGCTTCATATATTCCCCTAATTTGTAATGCATTGCTGACCCTATTATACTATACTTTCTATGGGGTGTCTAATAACGTCTGAACCAGGTTTTCCAATTAAAATGGATTTATCAATTACATGAATGCAACCTTTCAGCTGTAAGATCTTCCCTGCAACTTATACCTCTAAGCTCTCTGGTATATTTCAGCCATTTTGTCTTGATTTGCTTCAAAATCAATTTCTTTGAACATACTATGTAAATTATATTAAGAAATCTATTTTATTTTATTTTTTGTTATGATTTATGACTTTGCATTTTTGTCACTAATGTTTATCATTTGATTTCATGCTATCTACTTCTTATCTCCGCTGTTTTACTTTACAACATCTGCATAAGTTCTCACCCCTGAGTTTATCTGACTCCAGGTGCATTATTTTTGTAGGAACCAAGAAAAAATACTAATGTACAGATAATTAAATTTTATTTATATGTATATTTATAAATTTGAGTAATAATTTCTTCCTTATAAAAAAATTAAATTACACAGGAAAATTGAATATAAGGGAAATATGTAAGTGCATTGTATAGATAGGAAGGACTAAAGAGCATAAGTTTCTCCCAATCAGCCATGCGTAACAGAGGCCAGGTGCACTTATGGCATTATATGTGTAGGTAACAAACACAGACTATCATATCAGCCTACCAGTAACATTTGGCAGCAAATACTATATAAGACATATCTCCCCAAGTCTAGAAATAATATAACAGATGCTTCAATGTTTTGTGTAGAAAAATATTGTCAGAAAAAGACCATTTTAATTGTATAAAAAATATGAATGTTGAGTTCTCTCCAAATTTGATTTAAAAATGTATTTACAATATAGATACAATATTGTTGAATTAAACAGTGAAATATTTCTCCTTTATATATTATATTATTCGCATAGCAATCTATTTTTCAGTTGTATTAGGATAAAGACTTATGCGATGTAATACAATATTATATTTCATATTTCTCATTTCCCTAGTAAGTCCTACATTAATTATCTGATATGTATATCAAAACAAGTAGCCCTTAGATATCCAGTTACACAATTCTGATCAATAATATCAAGTAGCGATGTTATGATTTTCAAAATATGAACAGAGATTCTTATCTCCCCTATAGAACAAAATAATATGCAGGCAACGCAATAATCTTTCATTATATATTTTATTGCAAAAAGTTTTCACAGAGAGGGAGTAAAAATCTATCCAGCTTCACCTGTCCCTATACAGAGGAGCAGGAAAACATATTAAGCAGAGTGTACATCGCTTATTAGCTTCCCTGGTCTATCTTTAGCGAAAAGAATGAGGGGTTTGTGCAGTTACTCAGGATAATGCTCTCTAATTGCTTTCGTGATCCAACTGCCTTCATTGATACATTTGAACCCCCTTAAAGCGAGTCGTGTGTCCAGTCACGCGTGGGTAGCGCGCGCGTTTTGGGGCACCCTTTATCTTCCCCACCCCCTATCCACCCCAGCCGATTTCTTCCCCTCGTTACATTGTGTTTGGTACCTGCCGCCCCAACAGGTACACCATTGGTGCCGATACACCATGAAATACACGGGTAATAATGTCAGTGACGCGTTTCGTTCGTCGTATCGCGAGCTCTATTCCGGGGCTTCCCTTTGATCTGCAGATTATTGAATGCCACACCTGCGAGGAAGTACGTTATTGCGATCTCTACGAGATATAGGTTAGGAACGCGGATAGTATATTTTATACTGAATATACATACATACATATATATGTACGTTTTCGATTCTTCCCTCTGAACGCTCATCTCGAAAATTCTGAAAGCGTATTTTTTGTATGCGAAATATATACACTTCTCACCTCCTGGATAATTAGCATATTTTTAAATTTATACGCGATTCTCTCTTTATCTCTCTTTATCTCACAAATTGATTTATCGATTGTATAAACGCTTCAGAATGAATAAAATTTATTTACAATTTTATATATTTATTATAGAAGATACTTGGACTTTTGTGTTCAAGTTTCCAAAAGGAGAAGTAAGATATAAATAATTAGTGTTTATATGTAATAAATTTTTTTATCTTGAGAATTTCTATGTATATGAATTTTATAATATGAGAATAAAATGTACTCTGTGTGTTGAATATAATAATTTATGTCAAAAATAAAAACATATAGAAATAATATACTTTAGATATATTTACATAGAATATATATTTAAAATAATAAATCTCATAAATATATACATATAAATCTTGTTTTTTATATAATTATTAGGAAATATTCCCGTTTGATGAGTTAATATTAAAATAGGGTTGCAAAGATATAATGTGTTCTTAAAGATCTAAACGCTGGGTCTGGTGGAAGATGTTATTGATATTTAGTGAGAGAATATATATGTATATATCTCTGTTATAGACTCATCTCTCCAGCAGCGGGGAGATAGTAGCGGTGGTGGTGATTCAGTGGGTGTAGAGAGAGGTGAAGGAGTGATTGCCATGACTACGACAGGAGCCCAGTATGCCCTCGCAGCAGCATCCACCGGAGCTAATAACAGTGGGGGTAGCTCCACAACGGTAGGGGTGGAATCTAAGCCAAGCGTGGTTGTCGTGACTACTACTTCCAGTTCCAGTGGCGGTGGTAACGGAGCACAGACTCAGTCTGCCAGAGGCCAGCAACTCATCACTGTTGTAACAAGTCCTGATCCTTCCAGTCCAAATAATCTACAGCCTATCCAGGTTAGTAATAATTATTACTAGTGTAATTATATGTCTTTTCTGTCAATATATGAGGGAAAACTCTCTCACATATTATTTATTCTTCAAAATTGTACAAATAATTTCAATAATCTTTTGTCAAATCACTTCTCTTTTTCTCTCTTAAAGATGTGTATTCTATTATGATATATTTTTGTAAACTAGAGAAATAAAAAGTTAATATAAAAAATATATTAAAACTGATTTAATATATATATGTAGTAGGTATAGCAATATCTTTGTTAGCAGTACACCTTTGTAGGTACTGTACACCCAATCTGATAACATGTTTGAACCATCTGTTCTTGGTGTCTGATAACAATGATACACACAAATGTTGAAGTAAAATTCACAAATCAGTAATACCCTACTCTCTTTCTATACTGTACATATTTATAAATATATTGTATATAAGAGGCATATATAATTTAAAAAATTATTTTTATTATAAACATAAATCCTGGGGCAAAAGAACAAACATAATATAAATAATAATTTAGTTATTGGTGCAGGATCCACTTGAAACAGCAGCAGATTCTTCCAACGGCTCTACAGGTACACCGGCACATGTTACAGCACAAGTAGTAGTCAATACTACTCATTCAGGCCAACATACTCTAGTGGATTCTGACGCTGCTTCTACATCAGCTGGTACTATTGTCAGTGGTTCCCCGCATTACATAACAGTTACAGGTAATGGTCAAATGTAAATGTAACTTTCAAATATATAAAACATTAAGAATCGGTCCTTATGTTATCTTTGCAATGCACAATTCTAAATTCTAATTACAAGTAGCATCAAAATAATTACACGCTAAATCATAGATATTTAGTTGCTTAAATATATAGATAGAAGTTAACGTCAAGTATTTGAAACTTGATTACGAATAAATTTACTATTTGCGGTGAGTATGAGGATCAGTTTGAAAAATTATAGTGTTTGAGTAGAGATTTGGCCCTTTCCATGCTGCTGAAAAACATGCATCTCTGTACTTCCACTCTGACTACACTAGGCACGAGTGATTCACCATCCTACGCGTCCCTCACAACGGCTGTAGGTGAGGGCAGAATATAAACAGCATGCCTAATATATCCTTCATTATTTACATACATTTAATTTTGTAAAATATTAGAATAACAGAATTTCACTCTTTTATATTCATCGGTTATTTAGTATTATCCAATTTATTTATCTGTCTCAATTTTATACATTGTTATCAACAGACATACGACTAATCTAGAGTTTTTAATCATTTCCAGAACTGCTCTCTTCTCTCACTTTATCCAAATACAGTGCATCAAAAATTTTAAAAGATCTTCATGATTTTCTCCATTATTGAAATTTTTACAATTATGTGCAGTATTTTAATGAAATTCATTGCATTTACATACATGTGAGCTTTGTGTGTTGATACAAATGATTTATATTCAGACATTTAGCCATATCTGTTTTTTTTGTTGCAGTGTCCGGTGACGCAGAGGCGGTGGGGTCCGAGTCAGTTTCTCATCCAACCTATGTTCAATATGTTGAGGGGGATGGTTCCACGTATATACCGGCGAATGGCCAGATGTAAGTGATCTCGCATATTTAATTCTTAAGCTATTTGTAACTAATTGTAAAACGTTCTACAATAATCACGTAATATTTCGCAGGACATATCCTGTTTATGCTGTTGGCGAGGCAGGAGCAATGTATACCCCAGCTTCAAGTCAATACTATACTCCAGCAAGCACACCAGTAACATATGCACAAGTATGTACAATAGTATATACATAGTATATACAATTAAATACAATAATAGTATATACAAATTATTATGATAAGAACCATGATAATTATAATGTACACATTAACATTAACTTTTAATTGTATCGTAAATTAGGTCACAGGACAAGGCTCGAACTCAGCTACCGGACAGTTATTATCACAGGGCAATGGCACATACTTGATCCAACAGAGTGTAGTAGATGGAGATCCGACTGCTCACGCGCTTATATCTGCGGCCGCTGCTCGTGCTAGTCCGCAAACGGAAACGGCGGTAAGATTGCATGTTTCATGACTTCCTTAGATTGCTTTCACTTTTTAGAAGTTGAATAAATTAGCTTCGATTATATTATAATCGCGATACAAAGTATTTACCTTATCTCTGTAGGCATGAGAATCTGTGTATGATCGTATGGATTATCAAAATTTAGACTTAATTTTCTTAGTTTTTCAATTTTAACAGAAATATAATTAGAAAGAATTTTAACAGAAATTTATAATATCTAAAGTTTGCCAAAAATGTGTGCTGAAATACATAGGATAATAAAAACAAAAACCTAACAATAAAAATTAGTTTAATTGATCTGTGTAGTTTTTTGGACATCTCATATTAAATATATAATCTCTAATAATTAAAAATATAATATTTATTGTAGATTTTACGATTGAAATAAAATCATAAATATTAGTACTCGAAAAGAGATATTCTTATTCTCTCAATTTAGAGATTAACAATGCATTGGTATATTGGGTTGTTTGATAGGATGCAGTGGTTAGCGGGAGTGGCGGGGCATACTTGATCAGCGGTAATTCTGGAGGTACCACTGTCACCGTGGAAGAGGCAGCGGCTGCGGCCGCAAATATGACGCATGCCACTAGAGTTTCTCAGGCCACTGTAAGATAGAAACCAATTTCCCTTTTTTCAGCTTGTTTAGCATACTAATAAATATTTGTTTGGCATGTCTATTACTAATTAAATTGCTTTGAAGATACTGCTCTAATATTGTTAGAGCGTGATTGTGCGTAGATTGTGCGTAGTCTAATTTCTAAATTTTTTCTTTTTCGAAATCTCTAACTAAAAACGATGGTAGAAAGACAGTTATATGATTTATTTTTTTCAAATAATTGTCGCAACGAATCTAATTTTGTCTACTGCTAAGATGAATTTACTTTTTAGAGCCACAATTTTTATATCTTTTTAATCAGAGTAATAGTTTTTTATATATGAAAATAAATAAAATAATTTTTATTTTCCGTTTTTTTAAATGCAATTTTTAACAACACTATTTATAAAATATAAGTATTAATTATATATTTTTAAATAGGTGCATTGGTTGCTGGAAAATTATGAAACTGCTGATGGAGTGTCCCTTCCAAGATCAACTCTCTACAATCACTATTTACGCCATTGTTCTGACAACAAATTAGATCCTGTGAATGCAGCCAGCTTCGGGAAATTGATACGTTCTGTATTCTTAGGATTGAGAACTAGACGTTTAGGAACAAGGTAAAGGGTTTTGTAAAGAATATTACAATATATTATATATTAGATTGAGATATTTTTCATTACATGATTTGTTATTTTAATTATAGAGGAAACTCCAAATATCATTATTATGGAATTCGCGTGAAACCAAGCTCGCCTCTACTTATATTGAACGAAGATGGCACATCGAGACAACAGCAGAGTGCGAACTCTCAAGCCAAACGATTCAAATTCAATCAAAAGCAGGAGTCATCCTATAACGAAAATAATGCGCACGCAAACACGAATATCTCGTCGAACTCTTCGCCGCCGCAGTATCATCAGTATCTCGGTGAAGCGAGTGGCGCCATTCCCGATTTTCCGGAAATCTTTATCAGTCACGATTCTTCTTTGCCCGAAGATTGCACCTACGAGGATATTGATACGTTCCGCAGTATATATAGAGAGCATTGCGAGGCGTTTTTGGACGCGGTGCTGAATTTTGAATTTGCCACAGTGGAGAGTCTTTGGCGAGAATTTTGGCGCAGTCAAGACAACAATAATGGTGACGAATGCGAAGAGGAAAAATATTTATCAAAGTAAGAGCCATATTTTATCAATATCTGTTCTATAGTATCGTTTAAAATTGCATGTGTGAATATGACTTAATTTATATATATTTTTGTAAGTTTTTTTATTAGTTTAAATAATAAAAATTGCTCGTCACATTTGCATATAAATTGTATATTATTTATGAAGTTTGACATGTGCAATAAACAATGAATCTATATTTTTCAGAACCAAACTATATCAGATGTGTAAATACCCAGGAGTACAAGATTTTATCAAAAAAGTGGACTATACATTCTATCAGAATCTAGTCGAAGTATTAATGCCTAATGTATTACGACCGATACCAAGTATGTACAATTATTGTAATATTTTATTGCCATTATTTTGGGTTGTATATTAAATTTTATTTTTTTTCTTGATAAGGTTCGTTGACACAGTCTATTCGAAACTTTGCGAAAGGATTGGAATCTTGGTTGCAGTCAGCAATGGTCGGCTGTCCTGAAGGAATGATGGAAATAAAGGTATTATCTTATTCAAACTTATTATATGTATATGTATTTAAATATATATTCATTAGATCAAAAATATTTGAAAATAGATCAAGTAATTAAATATATATACGTTATATTGTATATAATTGTTGGTTTCAGTTAACTGCAGTGTCAGCTTTTGCTCAAACTTTAAGGCGCTATACATCATTAAATCATCTTGCGCAAGCCGCGCGCGCGGTGCTTCAAAATCCTAGTCAAATCAATCAAATGTTAACTGATCTGAATCGTGTCGACTTTCATAATGTACAAGAGCAAGTAAGTCGATATTTTGAAATATTTCCACAGAATCATCTGTCTCCCTCTCCCTTTTCTTTATGATATTTAAATTTAATAGACATAATAAATATATTTCTTCTCTCTCAGTAAAGATATTATTACATAAAAATTATACATTTCTAATTTTTTTAGGCATCTTGGGTATGTCAATGTGATTACGGAATGGTACAACGTTTGGAAGAGGATTTTAAATCAACATTACGACAACAAAATTCACTAGAAGATTGGGCGATCTGGTTGAAAGGGGTTGTCACACAAGTCCTTAAACCATTTGAGGAGAAGCCAACATTTGCTAAAGCTGCACGTCAATTTTTGCTCAAGTGGTCATTTTATAGGTATGCATCTTATTTATTGTTATATTAATAATAATTTTTACATTTTTAATTGAATTTATAATTATAATTCTTTTATAGCTCGATGGTTATCCGGGATCTTACTTTGAGAAGCGCTGCGAGTTTCGGATCTTTCCATCTTATTAGATTACTTTACGATGAGTATATGTTTTATTTAATAGAACATCAAGTCGCTATCGCAACTGGGACTACGCCAATAGCTGTAATGGGAGATGTTAGTATACTTTAATGCATTGATTATTACAATACTTTTGTCATAACATAATTAAACGTTTTCTTGGATTCTAATCTAGTTATTTTCTTGAAAGGTTGATTTTACTCACGTAATTAAATAAGAATCGTTTTTGTTTCAGAAAAGTCAAAATTGTTCTTTAGTTAATAGCTTTGGGACAACATCTAACGGAGGTGAGGCACATCATATTGTACAATATGTATAGTTAGTCGTTCTCGCTAGAATTTTATTTTTTAAATTATATTTTAGAGAAATTGATTTGATACAAGCTACAAAATTGCATTTCAGATACGTCTAATTCGACCGAACCTAAACATAAGCTAAGCTAACTGTGCCTTTAGTTTTGTGAGTAAACCGGTATAGCACACACGAAAATGCGAAAATATTAGCACGAAAGCATTGCAGGCCTACTTACAAGAACATACTAGTCTCGTAAATTATTATTTTGTATAACGTAAATTATATGATTATATAAGAAGAGGATTTTTGCATAATACCCATGATGTATACAATTTAAGTAAGTCAGTGTGATATAAGATACATAGAGAAGAGAGGTATTGTATCGTGAGAAAAGCCTTGTCTCATATACAGGTATGGCGCAGGTTTAAGCTATCGCTGGCACGATGTTAGTATATATCGCGAATCTAGTCGAAACATCTTTGGAAAAAATGGGATAGTATACGGGACCATGAATTTATCATGTCCTCATAGAACATGTACGAAAAGCCCACTCGATCATGTTTTCCTGAATTATTCAATGCATTTACTAAAAATATAATTTTTTTATGTTTCTATATATTAATATAATTTATAATTTAATCATTTACATGATATATATATATATTTAGGATATTATAATATAATTTAATCCATTTATTTGTAATCTATCTATTTATTTTTTCTGATACATAAAGAGTAAACATTATTAAAATTTATTATCAATACTCTTTAAGATAAATATTTATATTTGTCTTAACCATTTGTTTTAATTATATTTGATTTAAATTTCGTTTTTATATCTAAATCACTTAAAATGGATTATTATATTAAAAGTGCAATATAAATTTACATTTATATTTCGTGTGACAATGAATACATTTTTAAAATTATGTATATTTGAAATGTGATATATGCTTAAAGAAAACTATATTGGGTGGGCTTAAGATGAACATCACTTTGTGCAAACGAAGACGCGAGAGAACAGAAAAACATCCAAAATCAAATGTCTAATCTTTCACTCGCGAATTCTGGTTTGCACAAATTACGCGTAACCAATTAAAATAAAAATCCGCCCTACCGACGGTAATATGTCAAAAGTATTCCTATCGGAATAGAGAAAGATTAGATTGCTGTAATGATATATAAACTTTTAAAGTTTACACATACATATATCCGACATTCATATTTTTTAACGTAATTTATTGATTGAACATCGAGCTATGTGTGATGGTGATGGTTTCATTTGAGAACAGTCTCTATTGCAGTCCATTGCTATTCTCTCAGTATAATTAAGCGGATAGTACAAAATTCTATTGAAAAGAGAGAAAGAAAGACGCAAGTACCCAGAGATCGTTTTAATTTACTGATAGAATATACAGTGTGCGTCTTGAATGTATATATATATATGAAGAATAAATAGCGACGAATAAACGCGCGATTGTTGAAGTTGAAGGAGAAACTACAAAGTATATATGATAAGAGCGAGTGTTTGCAAATCGATTACAATCGATTACACTCATTAAAAAAAAATTGGTTGAGAATATCTACAATAAAAATATGTGTCGGTATATGTTTTATATTCATAAGCACTCCAATAGCGACTTTTGTATTGTAAAGATAAATTAGATCTAAGTCTCCAATATCGTTATAGTTTCGGTATATGTTGAGTTTAATTTGTTTTCGTATATTATTTAAGGCGATTTTATTTATACATATTTGTATTATGCGTGTCTTTGCGGAAATCACGCAGCTGCATTACATGGAGTTTTATTTGTTTGAAGTGGAATTGAAACTTTTGCACATTGTCAAATGACGTATTTATAATGAATTGTCCCATATAATTTGCGGAAATTGCTTCTTAAACATCGAACGTGTATAGAAGAGATTAATCAAATCGACATGTACTAATCGAAGTACTAATTATTTATATCGTACCACCAAAGTTAGTAGAATAATTTAAGACGTCCATTTTTTCACAAGTTTCTTTTTTTACTTTTAGTATAATATTGTTGATTTATTATGTATTACCTTAGATAAATTGTATATTTACATAAGTCATCAGAGGCCTGCGTGTCATGGGCTGAAAATCTAATCGATGTATATTCTATGTGAAAAATATTTTTAATATTCATTACAATGTAGATGCGTGAAAACGCGCAGTTTCAACGAAACCAAAGTGCACCATTGCATAACTTATATTAACTTGCTTATTAATTTGTTTCTGCAACTATAAGATGCATCGACGAATCCTATATTTTCGCACAAATTACTTTCTAAATTTATATTATTTCTCGCTGAGAATAGATTAGGAAAATGTAGAAAAAAATAATGAGATCGCTTATATAAAAATCAAGAATTTTATCCATTATCTGATGTCATATTTTAACAATGCAAAATTGCGTGCAAAATTACTTTCAGACACAGGAAATGTCGAATCATTTATTACATGTTACTTTGCATTGCAAATTAAATATATATATATATATATATATATATATATATATATATATATATATGTCTACATCTTGCGGCGTTATTTCTCGAATAAAATTTACAATTTAACATATAAAATAATACAAGCGATAACCATGCTAACACATTCAAGAGTGACTTGGCTGAATCAGAATAAATATCTTTATGTGCACAATGATACAGGAAATAGTGATCGTTTTTTTTTATTAATATGTTATTCAGAATAAATTCACACTATATGCATTTTGAATTTCTGATAATGCTACACGATCTTCCCAAAACAGACTGAACGTTTGGCAAAAAAGAAACTTGTGTGCCTTTTATTTTATAAAAATAAAGGAACATGAGCACTTTTTTCATATTGCATCTTAATTGTAGCTAATTATGGCGAACACATTATTTGACACAAATCACCAAGTAGCGCCATCGCCGATAAAAAGAGATATATAGGATATCTTTAATTTATTGTATAAGATTACTGCGTACTAGTCAACAAGAAGATAGTGTTAAGATGAGTGAGAAAAATAGGGATTGAGAAAAAAGAGAGGAAGAGTACATCGAGCACAGTATATCGAGCAGGATTTAGGACGTTTTCGTAACTGTAATGAGCTTATACGTGTAAAGATATAAAACAAAATCTATCGTCGATACCTATGTGTACTTAGAGTGTAAGGATATGGCTTTATATAATGGAGCGATTTTTCACAGCGCTCTTTCGCCGCTGATGTATGAAAATTTGACAAGCAAAGCGACTCGGATGTTGAGAAAGATGCACGTGCGAGCGGAAAAGAACATTCGCGCTCTTCTCCTGGAACACCTTTTCTGTGCATCCTTCTCGTCACATTGCTTGTATTACACTTGTCGCTCCAATTGTAAGTTTTACAGTCGTCGCCTGAAAGATCGGCGGATAAAAGTAATCCGATAATAACTGTATGCAAGATCAAACACACACACATCGTGGTTTCCTATGTTGCGAGATAAGTATAAACACGGCCTTAAATATATTCCGACGAAGAATGACAAGGGAAAACAGATTTGAGAAAAGAATTTGTGATGCTCCACGAGAGGAAACCGGAAAAGAAAAAGTGTCATCGTTTTTCCTTGTAACGTATAGAAGATATTTTGATACCTCCAGATTTGCACAAATCAAGTGTCATTCGTTACCGCTTGAATAAGATTATTTTTACTGAACGCCGCTCAAAAAGAGAGAAAAAAAAGAAACAACAGTAAACTTATAATATATGAATCGCGCGAGATGTAAGAATCTCTAAAGGAGTCTGTGTGAATTGTGCGGATCACTAGAGAAATGAATAATAAATCTATGTTTAAAACTTGTAATCGCACGATCTCGATTTTTAATAACCACTTGTATCCTGTCATAGCGAAATTTTGTATTAATTATATATGTAAAAAAGTGTCGATTTGCATTTGAAATATCGTAATTTAAAAATAAGTAATAGAGAAATTGCGATTAAAAAATTCTTCTGGATTTTGTTTTAAATTGAAATTCATTTAAATTTATTTATATTTGAGTATTTTATGTGCAAATTGCACATTAAACGTTCATTAAGATACAAATCGGATTGTTAAACTATAAGTATTTGAAATGTAAAAAAATTTGAACAAATTAGCCAAAAAAATCGAGAGTTGATATAATTTTGCATTGTACTTTCTGTAATTTATAATTACAAACCAAAATTTTAAATATCACATTTCCACAAATTCTAATTTGATCAATTTTTTTCTTTTCTCTATGTTGTAAAAAATAATCGTGGCACATTTTGGCAAAAATGTTTTTAATTTTGCTGTAATCAGTTATCTGTATTTCTATATGTACAACAGAGCATATTAATTTATTTTATCGTATATATTATGCGAAATGCTGCGATTAATAAAAGATATTAATCGCTAATCAGCAAAATGATATGCCAAAAAATGATAAACTTAAAAAAATAAGTTACGCAATCTGTTAATATTGTTTTATTAGAGATTAACACTTCTTTTGTGATTTTATTTTTAAATTGAATTGAATTTAAATATTTTTATTTTATGTACATAAATATAAGCATAAAATAAGAAATTTCTATTAAATGGAAGAAACATTTTAGAAGAGAATAGAGGTTTTATATTCATAAGAATTCAATTACATTATTTGAAATAAAAATATATTTTAACATATACATTTTTAGATATGTTCTATTTTTGAAATCATTTTGTATTCAATTTTAATTTAATTTTTATCATATTTATGAATATATGTATATACAAATTTTAAGAATTGTTAATTATAATACAATATTAATAAAAATGTACATATAATCAACATGTAGATTATTTGCATTAGAATCTACATGTAGATTATGAAATATATTTACAGAATTACACTGTAAAGATCTCTATATTGTAAGGATCAGAGAGTCGAAAGTATCATATACATTCTAAGCTCGTTGTGCAAAAATTTCGGAATTATATTATTGTATCTCTATAAAAACATTGATAGAAAAATATATTACTGTGCATCGCAAGTTCAAATACTTATATGAAAGAATTAGTGACGCGCTGAGAATAGCCACGTGGGTTTTACTCCATCATATGTCACATTCTTTAGATATATCTTGTATATTATACACTGTATATTTTACACTCACAAAAGGAGCAGCTAATCTATAAATAATTACTAGTCTTTGTGCGATTATTTAAATTTTGTTTAACGTTAAAGTTTGAATAGGCTAAATTACATGTCCCTTGCATGCAGACGCGTTCTTGCGTGTGCAAGGGACACAAGAATTCACGATCCGAATTCTATTGTGTCAAGTTCGATCGGCTTAAACTCGTAACTCCCTCGACCGTCCATGTGTAAATAGTACTGAAAATGCATAAAAATTAAACAGTGATAAAAAACTATATATAAAAATTACGAAAAGTATATAAATGATAATAGAACAGTAATAAGTAAAACAAAATAAGTAAAATAAATCTAAATTATACGTATGTCAACTATAAAATTACGTTTCAAAAAAGAAGGCTCAATAATACATACCTCGTGGTGCTTCCAAAGAGAACGACGATGCGAAACTGTAAACAGTGTGATGTTTTCCTGCTTGCAATATCTGTACATGGAATCCTCAACATCGACACTGACGGCGCTTGTGCATTCGTCCAGAATCGCAAATTGTGGTTTATGATAGAATAACCGAGCCATCTGAATAATAGGGGCATTTTAAATATTTATAATAAACAGTGCGTTACTTCAAGAAGACAATGTACATATAATAAATTATAATCAATTTCCTTAAAATCAAAAGGATATTTTTATAAATAGTATGAATAACAAGTAGTCGCAAAAATAATTCACATCGATTTTTTAAAAATGAAGAAAGAAGAGAGAAAGGAAGAAAACAACTCACTGCTATACGTTGTTTCTCGCCACCCGATAAAACATCCATCCAATCGGCCACCGCGTCCCAAGCTTGTCCTTCACTGTTGGCGAGATTTTCTCTTTCCAGGAGATGAGTTAATTGCACCAGTTGCAAGAATTTTTTAAGATCTTCGTCGTTAGCGTTACCGCGTCTCTTCATCTCGGCTTTTGTGTGAGGATAGATGATCTGGTCTCTCAATGTGCCCAGCGTCATATAAGGACGTTGCGGTATGTAGAATAGTTTACCGCGCGGCGGTTTCGTAATACATCCTGCCCAAACCGGCCACAGCTAAACGTTAGGATACGTAAAGTTAATAATAAATAGAAATCCGATTATACCGAAATCACTTAATGTTCGTAGATTAGTTAAATTTCTAATTGACACTATACATTGTGGAATAAATTTGTAGATATATTACGAAGAGTACGATAAGAACTAGCAATAAACCAACACAATAGAGATAACGAGCGTACTTCGCCAAGAATCCTAAACATGGAGCTCTTGCCGCAACCGTTCGGACCGCAAACCAGCACATTCACGCCGGATTTTACTTCAAAGGACAGTTCCTTGATAAGTAAGTCTCCATTTGGAGTCACCAGTGGTACTTGATCAAATCGTATGATGTTATCGCGATGCATAATCTTGCCGCCACCGGGATAACCGATCGCATTGTTCTTGAAATCGGAGACCATCGTTCTCTCGTATTTTCCGGCGTTCAGGTCGTCAAGGACGTTCTTGATCTCGGTGACCCGAGCCGTGAATCCCGCCAGACGTGTCAGTTCTCTGCCGGCCAACACCAATCGGCCGATCGCCTCTGCCAACTTCACCAGCATTCGGCCATATGTGTAATACGATTTGAATCTATGATTCGCCGTACCAGAGAGTATGGGATGATCTTTCTGGAAGAAGGGCACGCTCACCGCATAGAAGCCGACAATGGTAGCAAAATCTGGAAGAAGACACGTGATAGTGATTATATAAGGAAACAAACAATTTGTTGAAAACAAAAGTGACACATATCATTAACTATTATATATGTTAACGATATGTGCTGTTTATGTATATAAATAACATTGTACATTTTGCAACGAAGTTATCTATGATGCCCATGAAAACCCTGAATTCGAGGAATTTACGAAGGTGAGTCACCTACAACGAAAAAAAACGCAATGCAAAAATAACAACATATTGATAAAAGTACGTAAATGCAACTTAATCCAACAACTTACAAGTTTATGAAAACTAGTTAACATTGTTAATTTTTCTCTATTATTTCCTCCATAGAAGGCTATTTCCTCCGAATTGGTAATCAATCTTGAATTGATGTGACGATATTCCCCTTCCAGTCGTTGTTCTTTGACAGTCATTGCTCCGACCGGTTTGCGAAGATGAGTCAACAAAGTACCAGATATTACGAGGTAGGCCAATATTAATGATGGCGTCTGAGATAACAATAATATTACGTAAATTATTATGAAATGTTCGTTAAAGCATCACAATAAGGACAATATTTATGTTATATACCTGTCCTCCAAGAGTAGAAGTTAATTTGTATACATAGATGCTAATGTCTAATATAGGCTTTGCCATGTTGCTATAAAGATCTGTACAACTATCACAAAACTTATCAATGTCTGTAGTCAACAATTGATCTGGATTCGCGATACGAGTATCCAAATTACTCATTTTGTAATAGGTGAAGCCCCTGTGAAAAGAGAAATACTTGTTTCTTAAATATTCGAATTTTTAATAATTATTTCATTATGTGCCATTTAAACGAACAGAATATCTGTCTAAACATATTTCATGGTAATTTATTTTAGTCATTAATTATTCAAGCAAAATCAATACTATCAATATAAATGAGGTTTCAATATTTTACAAAGTCATGCGAATACATAAATTCAATTATCCTTTGCATAATAAGTATACCTTTGATCCTGTTGATTTATCATAAATGAGAATGCTGATTAAACTGATTAACAGATTTAAACGTGTAAGAATGTAAATATATTGTGAGTTTTTTGTATGTAATCTTGTTACAAAAATCTTAATTTTACAAAATAAACCTACAACGAAAAAAAATGATAAAAAGTCAGTTACTCAGTTACTTACTTAAGATAATGTTCCAGCAAGTAACGTGTAATATTTGTACGTAATCTCAATTTTACTTCACTTATGCCATACTTCATTATATTGTTCACGATCGATATCTAAATAAATGATAAAAAAATATATATGTATGTAGAACATAATATTAATAATTTCTTTCAATTGCTAAACTAATATTAAGGTGTTTAAATGCCCAAATAGTTTCAATTATTCAGACTATGAGAATAATCTTTGAATCAGTTATGCAACATATTCTTACCACTGGTATGACAACGGCGAAATTTAACAAATGTTTCCTAAACAATGGTCCGTTCATGCTGACAATTGATCTGATAGCATACAAGATTTTAAGTTAGAGATAATGTTTCTTATCCATATACATATTACTAATAAAAAATAACACTGCACTTACGTTTCAATCAGAGTTCCCTTGTTGATCAACCACAAGTCACACAGAGTTCTAGCAATCAAGGACATCGCAACCAATATTACATAGCCGAATTCTGGTGTTAGTATACCAGGGATACCGATCTTGAGTAATTGACACAGCCTGCGGAAAAAGATAGCATTCACCTGTGCCTTGGGACCCTTTGGTTTCTCCTACAAAGAAACAATCGATGTAATCCTGTCTTCAGTGTTTGACACATTATATCATATTCTTACCTCCTTGATGACATATTGAATGTCATTGCTGACCGGCCACTGGTTCCTACAAAAACGTTACATCGTTACAATCTCGGCGAGGAGATAAGTGCGACATGAAATTCTTGTTGCGCAATTTACCTGGACTTTGGCGTCCGTCTTCTGCTGCGGTTCCTCAGTATCCAAATAAGCGTGCTGATCGCAACCGCACCAGCTAACGTACGTTTTGTGGCGAATTTGCTGATTGCTGGTGCCATTTCGAAGTCCAAGTATACGTATCAGCTGCACCGTCCTGGCGCGACGGTTAAACTATCACGCATCACGCGTGGCCTTTGGTGCAAAAGGCCGAGTCGGAGCGAGTCGAGTGGAGCCGAGTCGAACAGGTTGAGCTTGGTGGGAGACGATAAAGTAAGGAAGAGGAAGGAAAAATTGAGGAAGAGAGTGAGAAAGAGAGATACGAACGGGTCAATCTATTTGTTGGTTGAATCAGCTGCAGTTGTGAATCAGCAATATTGCCGTATAAATGGTTAAATCGGATTCTGCAGCCTCGCGTGATGTAATATGTACATATGTACTTTCTTTTCCTCTTTCCAGGCTTTTTCTTCCTTTTACGAATGCGATTATCTCACGTAATCAGAGTGCAGAATAACACTCTGTGAGAGCACTTGAGATTGCAACAATCGCTTTGAATGTGATGACACAGTGTCATTGTATCATTATTCCACAGTGCTTGGAGACAATTTCCATATAGTCATTGTTTTACAGATTGCAAACTTTCTTTTTCTTTCCTTTTATTTCGGAAAACGCATCAAACCTGAAAATATTAATATAAAGAAAATTAATATAAAAATAATATTAATATAAATTTCAGATTACCAAATATTTTTATGCATTTTTTAAAATATTGTACATTTTTTTTATTATCACCTCCTTTCTTTCTCGTAAAACAATCTGTTAAATTGCGATTACGTGAAAGAAAAATAAAACAATTTAGAGACTACAACATTTAAATATAAATAAATATATGCATGTGTTAAAAATTATATGCAAGAATATATAATAAAATATTTAAAACATTTTTCGTTTACTAATGGATATTTGCGAAACTTTTTGCTTCTATGCCTAATGAGATATTACACAAGACTTTTTTATTACCAGTTGTTTCTATCGCGAAATAACCCAAGTGACTATTAAAAGACTTCCCTCTCACTGACACATTGATGTTAAAAGCGACAAATCATGCATTTTTTTGCAAAATATGTTGAAATAAAAATCAGTTTTTTTTATTCATGTTATATTATTTGCGTTCAATAAAATATATGGAATATATTTCGTGATATATATATGTATATATATAAACTGCAAAACTTATAATATAAATAGCTTTTTTGATGAATACTCTAAGTTTAATTTTACTAAAAATGTAAAAACATTTTATGACTTTAATTATACATATATTACTAATGTGTAATTAAAAAGAAACTTTTTGATATACTTAATTAATTCACATTATTGTATAGACAAATAATAGACAATGGACGAAAAAATTCTGATTTCTTTCGATTACGCAAGAAAAAAATGCACTTAATTTCTGTCGTTCATCATATTTCAATATACTAGGAAAAAAAAGATGCAGAAGTCTTAAAAATTACATCAGTTTTTTACATGCAAAATGTTAATTTCTTTTTACATCTATGTTTCTTTTGCTTTTCTTCAATTTTCTTATACCTTTCTTTCTTTTTTCATAATTTAAACATTTAGTTTTAACTTTTCCAAAATTTGAATTTTGTTAAAACATTGTGATAAAAAGTCAGAAATACATAAAACATTTCTACGCATAAAAATATGCAAATATTTAACTTATTTGCACAATGCGAAGAACAATGCTGCAAGAAAATGTATGTACGTGATTGCAAAATAAATAAATGTAAAATAGTAAGTGTAAATTATATAAAGTAAATTAAAATAAAATAAAAAATTATTATACGTATATCAGAATTCTTAAAAAAAAAAAAAAAAAAAAAAAAAAAAAAAAAAAAAAAATCTAAATGCAAAATATGAAAAAAACGCTGAAATGAATAAATTTTGCTTATAATTATTTTGCAAAAAATGCAGCGATTAAATAACCACCTTATTATGTATCAATAATATACTTCATAAATATCGTATTATGTAAACGACGTGTTTAAAAGCAAATAAATATGCAGAGAATAGCATGATGCATGCAATGTATAGTGTGATAATTTCAATGACGTATTATATTGAGTAAAGATTACATGTTTTTACTTTGATGCTTGAATTAAATTATATATATCAATGCAATATAATTCTGATAATGTTGTATTATCTAACAAAGTTGCAATTTTTACATGAATGTCTTCCAAATAAAAATCATACATATATCTTTTTATAAAATATGTGTCAAATAAATCTAAGTGTCAAATCAGCTATTTTGTGATGTTAATATTTTCTCAAATAAATATAAGAAATGTAATGCACAAATGTGTAGACACAATTCTGAATTTACATAATTTTATGTAGCATTTTGACATCGAGCATTTGTAATGTAAATAATGTATTATAAATAAAATTTCACATATTATTAAAATTATAAATTCTTTTATGTACATATATATATGTATGTGTATGTATGTATGTATATCACACTGCATGTATATTTAAAAGATTTAAAAGATTTCTTAAAGATATATTTAAGTAATAAGATACATATCTTCGGAATATTTCTGATATCTTTTAGATATGCACGCTGTATGGTATATATAATATATGTATAAAACAACAGTACTAAATTAAAAAAAAAAAAAAAAAAAAAAAAAAATTAAGTACGATAAAACTCAATGTAAAACAAGACTTACCAAATAAAAAGACGATGAAAGACCAACCATAAAATCATTTAATTATTAAAACTATAAATGATCAGAGAGAGGGGGAAAGTTAAACCAAACACTCAACAGTTACCTAAAAATATAACATAACAGTGTTAAATCTTAATATCAAATAAAACAAAGAAAAAATGATAACAGGACATTGTCCTAAACTAAAAGAAAGATGAAAAGATAATATTAAATAATATTATCGCTATATTAAATCACTATAAATAATATTATCATATGTATTGTACAAAAATTACATTTATGATAATGGAGAACAAAATAATATACAAAAATATATATAAATATACCTGTCAAAATTCTGATTTATACAGTTAAAACACTAAGCCAAAAGTACACTTCACAACCAGGATCCAAAATTAGGGACCACAAACCAAAGAGTATTATGAGAAAAACTGAAAATTATGAGAACTATATAAATTATATGAACAATCAAGACAAAAATACTACGACAAATCATTAATTTGAGTTATTATGTATGTACATAATCATAAGACAAATAATAATGTTTATATTTACATATACACGCATATATGCTCAAGTCCAGTAGAATATCCCAGATAGCACCATGTCTAAAATGCACGCATAAGTCATCATTAAGAAATCTTTAAGACATCTTATGATATGATATCCCAAAGACATCTTGAAAACATCTTAAAGATGTCTTATGGGTGCATTTTGGACATGGTGCTATCTGGGATGTTACTAAATTTATCGAACAATTTTCTTCAGTCAACTCACCCACACACACACACACACATATATATCATATATATATATATATAAAATTCCACTGATTAAATCATACATATATTAGTAAAAAAATTGTTAAAAAATGTGTTGCGTAATTATTATGTATATATATTGCAATTTTATTGGATATAATAATGCAGAATATAAAGAAAAAATTGTTATATATTAAATCAGTAAATATCCAATAAAATTACAATGTATATTACAATAATTATTGTATTTGATATATTATAATTTTATTGAATAATAGATATCTTCTATATTCAATATAATATGGCTGGTTATGCATTTTATTTAATTGGTTACGAGTTATGACTAAGATGAAATATTTTAGGACTTTATATATACTTTGTGAATTTTAATAAAGTTCGAAGAAGACACATGAAAGAATATATTTAAACTAGTTTATAGACGCAAATATTCTAAATAATCTTTTTTTTTTTTTTTGCATAAAAGACCTACGTAATTCTGTCGTATCCTTTTGAATTCCTCCGAGTCCTCCATGAAGAATATTGAAGAAGGAAGAAGAAGAACCGGAAGAGGAAGTTCACTCGATTCTCACACAATAGTACCGAAGAAGCTCGCAAGAGGTGGGTAGTGGCGTGATTTTGTAATCACGTGATCAATAAAAAGGACTGTTACTGGACTTGGGATCTATTTGCACTCGGAATCCTTTTTTTACATACATAAAAATAGAGTTTCTTTATGAGTTACTTACTGCTTTTATTGGCCGATTTTTACGAGGTTCAGTTATAATTTATATAAATTTATGGAACTTCTCACGAAAATAAAACTTGTTCAATAAAATATGAAAATAGTAGGTACAAGATTATTAAATTGAAATACTTATATTCTTCATTCATAAAAAAATTTTCTTTAATATTTTAATTAATAATAAACGTTTATATTTTTCTGTTTCAGCGTTTATATATAAATAACACTAGTGATTAATGTCAAAATCATTAATGTTGCAATGTAAAAATCTGTTATATCCAAAAATTTATATGCCCTTTCCATGACAAATTACTCTGAGATATATATGAAGGTAATTATGAAAGAAGACATTTTAATATAAATTTATTAAAGAAATATTTTTAATCTATTTCTAATCTTTTTGTGTATATTATATTATATAAATATTTATATTTTTTTAAATAAAATGTAATAAAGTATATATATATAGTCAAGAACAAAATAAAGAGATTACTAATAGATTTTACAAACAAAAGTTGCTTTAAAAAAAAGAGATTATATAAATTATCTTTCTGTAAAGTTAATTTAGAAATTTTTTTATTATCTGATTTATATAGTTTATTACAACATAACCTCTAAATCAAGAGTGTCATGCTGCTTTCAATACTGTCATACGATGAATTTATCTTGCTCGAATTAGTCGGAAATGCGAATGTAATTGGATAATATCTTATAATTGAAGCATTATTATTGACGATTCCAGAATGCTGCACAATACGACTTCATTGCCTCAGGATATTCTGGTCGAGGTTAAAAAATTTATTTCCGGCGCCGTTTCTAGGCCTCGAATATTTTTGCAATGTATTTTTCATCACGGTGTCGAAATATGTTCGCCAGATCGAGGTATGTCAACAACACACATTTCATTTATGTTCTTTAAATATGTACGGTGTGAGCACAGTAATATGTAATAATAATATAAATTACTATTTTTGCAGATAAATCAGAATATATCGATATCAGCAGAGAACATTATAGTCGAGATCCACTGTTCTGAGTTCTGAGCAATTTTATAAATGGAAATTCAGAAGCATGGACACTTATTATATCAGCATGGTCATTGGACTTACTTGGTATATATTTGATGTACAATCGAGCAGAAAGTGAGATAAAGTATATATTATATAAAATTGTATGTAATAATTATATATATTTTTAGATGGGAAAAGTCGAATAAAGTGGCAATGTTATAGTCAAAGATGATTATTAAATATTATCTTTGTTGACGAGAACCAACTTTGACTTGGTGAATGTTATTCTGTTGGATCTGCTAAGCTCAAGGAAGATTATATTCTCCATGTGGAACTCGTGCTGAAATTGATGAGGGCAGTCATCCAATATTTCTTGTGCATTGCACAAACAGGTAAATACAGTTTTTTTAATATACTTAACGTTTTTAACATTACAAGATAATCTATTTTTTCTTTTCTTAAATGTAAAAGAAGGAACGAGTAGTGAAAAGATGATTTGTAACTTATTGAAGGATGTGATGTGTTATTCTTCCTGCTGGTGCTCAGAGAGATTTTAGTAAATAGTATCAATGAGCAGGCAAAGTATTTTGGTGCAAAGGAGAAATTGAGCCCTGTTCTGAGGAGACATTAGGGTTACATCAGAATCATAGACAGGTATATACAGAGTGTACGCAAAAATATAATAAAAAATATGTCTCAAAATATATGATATGCGTTTCGAAAAAAGAATATATGTTCCATATTAGTTGTAATATTAATATGGAATTTATATATGAATTATATATTTCAGATATAATTCTATATATGTCTATATATATATATATATATATATATATATATATATCTACATATAATTCTATATATGTGTAATTCATATAATTATATTTTAATATATGAATTATATATAGAATTTAAATGACCAGCAGTTGGATCGATATCCTATCCTCAATTTGGATGCTCTGACAATGGTCAGCTTGTTGTTAATTGAATTGGTGTCCTTTTGTGGCGCGATGAAGAGTTTACAAAGGTTAATTTTCGTTTATTAGAAAACCTTCTGGTATAATGTAATAAAATAACGATTTCGATTGCGTGACAATGTAATATTAAATTATAATTTGAAACTATAATCTTACACACACATACATATAATATGTAAAAATGTGATGTGTAAGTTGAAAATAAAATCGTGTTTACTGAAAGGTATATTATACCAGGAAAGTGTATATATACATTCATATGATAAAATTTATTGTAAAATTTGCTTTTTATAAGATTGCAATCGTTTATATCGTTATTTTATATGCATATTATATGTGTCGCAGATATATCAAAAAAAATTATTGTAGATCTAGAGCAAATGAAAATTAACAAGGTACAAAACATAATTTGAGACACCATAATTATGACTCTCCTTTATATTTTTTTGCATTGCAATTGCAAACTCTTCCCTCTTTAATTATTTCATCAAAATTTCCCATACAAATGAGATGGTGTCATTTTTTTATTGATATAGCAAAATATTTAAAAAAAAATGATACTGTTATAATATATATATACATATTCATCTAATTAGAATTAAGGTAATTTGATGCATTTTATGCAATAACTTTATTTGCACAAGAATTGATTCTGAAATATGTAGTTACATTGAACTTTTTAAAATATTTTAGAGATAGTTTGAAAGTTCTTGGAAGTCAAAGTGTTTTCTTAGTAGAAATTTTTATGAAACTAATAATTAGATATGAAAATATTTTATGAAAAATAAAGAGGTTTTTGTAATTTAAATTGAAATTTATAAATCATTAATAATTGCCTCTTTATTAACTCCATGATAAAAATTCCTCACAATTATTGAATCATTGATTGAAAAATTTCATGTGAAAATGAATATTGGATAAATTTAATTTCCAACAATTTGCATAGATAGACCGCTTAAATCAAGATTGTCATAACTTTCAAACTTGATCTAAAATATTTTAGAACACTTTATATTATTAGAAAAAAGATATCGAATACAAAAAGGTAAAAGTAGAAAATCCAGAAAGTAAACGAGAGGAAAACAATCCATCTTTATTAATGTAACATAACATTCTCCGCTTCTTTGTTCTCGATATTTTATTTCTACAAAATCATTGGAAACTATCAATCGTCCTTGTTTTGAATTCGGGAGAGCTAAGCTCGATTTAAAATTCGCGCGCGACAGCGATTCGAAAAGCCCGCGCTCGGCTCGGCTCCGCTCGGGTCGCGTCGGTCGCGCTCGGCCGCGCACTCGCTCGCGGAACGAAACGGGTTCGGCGGCCGCCGGGTCTGGGAATTCAGCAGAAGCTCCGGGAGCTCCGGTGTTCCGTTCGCTAGTCGCAGGGTTCGACCGCTCGTGGACGGGTCGTGGGTACGTAGAGAAGAGGAACGTGGTGCGGTGCGTGGCGCGTGAGAAAGTCCACGAAGACGACGCAGAGACGCGCGCGGACCGAAGGTAACGCCGAAAGTTCTTTCGCAAGCGCGGTGGGAGAGAGAGAGGAAAAGTGCGAAAAACTTGGGGAAGAAAAAGGAAGACGGAAGAAGGTGGGAGAGGAGGTGTACGTGGTGTTTCGCGAAGTAAAGCGAAGTCAGTGATCAGTGGTTCTCTCTCTCTCTCTCTTATTCGATTCGATCGATCGTGCTACGTCGTAAAAAAAGAGAAGAATAATCATCGAGCACGCTACTCCGCGAAAATCCGCCTTCCTCTCTCTCTCTCTCTCCCCGTGACGACGGTGCAACACTCCTTTTCCTGCCTGTCTTCTCCCGTCCCTCCGAGTCCTCCCCACCGTTTCATTCGTTTCCTCTTAGCCGCGTGCGCGTTTCCGCCGCTCTCTTCGGGGTTGCCGGCTGAGCCGAGGCTACGTCGACGCTCTCGGAACTCTCGCGGAGAAGGAGAAGCGCGCACAGGTGCAGGTGCATGCATATAGAGGTTCCGCGAGCGGGGGAGGCGAGGAAGAAGGAATCGGGGAGAGAAGAAGAAGAAGAAGAAAAAAAAGAGCGAATAGGAAGGCGACAGCGACAGCGGGAGCAGACGGCGGAGGTCGCGCGTCGCGAGTGCTCGCGTACGGTGCGAAGTGCGCCGCGAAGGAGCACGAATCGAAGTGGCAGGATGGACGACACCGCGGACCCGCCGCGAACTTCGGACGTAACGGCGATGGGGGGAGGCGAGAGCGACGAGGCTCCTACCTCCTCGAAGATGTCGGACGTCCCATCCGCTGACGCGGCTTCCTCCTCAGCCGATAACGTCGCCGAGAACCGGGAAGGCTCGATAAGAGCCGCGTCCCCGGGGCCGAGCCCCGTTGCCGCAACTACCTCCTGCCCGACGACGGCGATGACGCCGCAGCCGCCGCAACCAGGGTGTGGCTGCGTCGCCGCCGCCGCAGCTGTCGCCGGCGACCGGGACGAGATCACGGTGTGCATCACGCCGACCACCGGCGGCCAGTTCGAGCTCGCGGTGGACCGCAACGACACCGTCGAGAGTCTCAAGAAGATCATCTCCAAGAAGCTCAAGGTCGCGAAGGAGCGCATCTGCTTGCTGCACCGCGAGAGGTGAGTCTTTTCTTCTTCTTCTTCTTTTTTTTTTCTCTTTACTTGCGTCGAGAGAGAGAGAAGGATCGAAACCGGTGTAATTTCGGTCGGACTTCCGAGAAAGAATTCTTTATTCTTGTGCCAGAGAGGCTCGAAAGACTATTCGCGTCTTTGTTTGATTAGAGAAAATCGGTTTCTCCAGATCAGAATTCCAGGTGAATTATTAAATTTATTCGACGACACTCTATCTTGTTTCTCGAAGAGAAGGTACGCTGAAAATTCTTCGCTCGACTTGAATATTTTGGTAATTGAATCAAACGTATTTGGAACATTAAATACGAATATGTATGTTTTAGTCAGAAAATAGTAATTTTAATTGAAAGGTTCGGTCGAGTCGAAACATTTTTTTTCCCAGCGTATCTTTTTTATTTACATTGATCTATCTCTGTTTAAAGTGGAAAGAAATATTGAAGAAGATATTCACAAATGACAAATGAATTTTGATTAAAAAGGAATTGTACAAAGGAGTCTAATCTATTCTATTTTATTGTTACGCATATTATGTTATTTCATATTTTCGACGTTTATTAAGCGCTCCGCAACAAAAAATCATGAGATTAAAGAGTGATGTTGAAAAGCAAAATATACAGTTACACGTCTCAAGTACACTTAAAGCTCCAGTTGTATTTTTTCACTGTTTCTGTTCTCAAGTCGAGACAATTATATTCCGACACAATCATATTCTTATAAAAAAAAAAAAAATATAGGTATATATAAGAAATATATTTCTTTAATCTCTATTGATTCTTGGAATTCCTTTTAGAATCCAGCTGAAAAGACAGATCATTGTGATAAATATCGTTCTTCTTTTCGTTTCCCTTCCACTTTTCACGACGAAAAACGGACAAGGAAATGCTATTCTCCGGTAAAGATACCGAATTCTTTGTCAACTGCGACAATGCGCAGATCAAGTTTCGGGAAATATAATAAAATACATGTGATAAAAATTAAAAAATAGCAACGAATGAGAGAGGAAATACATCAATCTATTACACATCGATAATAATAACTGTGCGATTAAGAGACTCCACTGAATCGCTCGCGTTATCTCGAAGGCGTCGCGGCGTCTCGCTCACACATGCACATAATACACACATATATATATATATATGTGTATATATATATATATATTCCGCGTCGCTTCTATTTTTCTCACGAGCGACGTGCGTTCGAATCGGACCTCGCCCCATGCTCCGCCGGCTCCGCAAAGAAAGAAGAGAAAGAGTGAGAGGGAGAAGGGCGAGAGACCAGAAAGAGAGAGAGAGACGAAGCTGGCTGACAAGAAGAGGGAGAAGGCAGAATAGAGACGACCCGGGTAGAGAGCGAACGTACAGGCTCGTCCTTCGTGCCGGTGCACTTTTGGACATGCGTTGGTGAGAAGAGAGAAAGAGACGGGGAAAGAAAGAAAAAGAACGGTGTATATATACCCGCAGATGTGTATCGGCTGTTTCAGAAGCACAGAGAGAATTTTCTCTTGGAATTTAGACCGTGAGGTAATATATGTGACGGTGCAGGAATTTTACGAGAATTTTTCGAATCAATATATATTTATCGCAATAAAAAATAGTAATGTGTACGTGGTAAAATTAATCGAACGTGTATTTTATATCTTATTGTGGTAGATATTTATATTTTTTATTGTGGTAAATATTATGTATATTTAATCAAGAAGCTCTCTTATAAAATTCTTCCAATACCAGATTATTCCACGATTTATCATGATTTTTAAGGTAAATTCTAAGAGAAAATTCTCTCTGTGTAGGGAATACTTTGGAAGGAAAGTTGTGCGGGGTGGAATAAAAAATGTAAACAAAGAATAGCGCGTTTTTAGAGTTCGAATTTGAGAAGAAAATAACATTATTTGGTCTTTAACCTTTAATCAGAAAACCAATATTGTTCATAGTCTTATCACAGTATTATATATATATCGCTCGGAATGTTGCTAAAATTGTACACTGAAAACAAGTGTTAGCTTGACTAAATCTTCTAATTAAATATTTTGTTGATTGAACATGAAAATATTTAAATTAAATATAATGTTAAATACGTATATTTGACTTAAATACTAATATATATGTTCAATCAACAAAATAGTAATTTAATTGAATGTGTCGAGTTAACAAATTTTTTCAGAATACTTGGAATTTCAATTTTTTTTTTATCATTATCGTATCTCACGTAAATATGCTTTTGTATATTGTGAAATTCGAATTATGAGAGATTGCTCAATTTTCGAAACGAGACATGAGACACACACGTGCCTCGACAATTTCTTTTATTCAATAGCATTGTCATTATTCCGTCTCAAGTTTACCATCGCAAATTTTTTTCTTTGGTTCTTGCCTATTAATCCTTGACACGAGTTAACTGTATTCATATTTGAAGGCCTTATATAATGCTGAAAATGAACTTTATACTAAAATTTACATAAACTTTATACGTAAACTTTCAAAAAATCAAAGAAGCATTAAAAAATCTCTAGACAGTCTTTTTCACATATATACATTCGTATATATTTCATTCCGTTTTTTGCATACTTAATCAATATTTCACTTCAATAACTATATATATATATTATTTAAAAATTATATTAATTATATTATATAAAATTCTACGATATTAATTGAAAAAAAAAATTGGAAAGGGATTGAAATTTGGAGAGATGCGAGAAAATATCGCGGTCTTTTTTGCTCGAATGAAAGAAAGAATCTCTCCTCGCCTCGTAGAATGATAAAAGCCCAGTATCGCTCCCCTCCGAAGTATCGACCTATCCCCCTGAAACCGCCTGTATACGTGGGGTCTCGTGGGCGTCCGTGGGGGCCGCGGATCCATCCACCTCCACCAAAGCACCTCCCGGTTGCTTCGTGCGAGCACGCGAGAGCGAGAGAAATATGGTGGAGTGGTAGGTTGGCATACCGCGGTGAGAGTAGTCGCAAAGAGAGGTGGGACGAGAGGTGGCGAAGGTGGCGTGTAGTAGTATAGTAGGTAGAGAATATCTCGGGAAATCGCGCTCCCGTAAAGTGGAACAGTGACAGCCGTCTGCGGCGGTGGATGATAAAATGAGAGGGACCAGGAAGGGATCTATTTATTATTTGGCGTAAGCCGCATCGGAAAGAAAGAGTATGACTGTAAGGAAAAATTGGGGGAAACATATAGAAGAGAGGATAGCGCAAAAGTGATCGAGCAATGTAAAATAATATGATGATGTATAGTAGAACGCGAACGGTATATGTCTCTTATAGTATATACAAGTCGTATAGAAAAAGGTATACAATCGTGCGTGCTGATATAAAAAGTAGATACATGAAAATAATGAAGGAGTAGGTATTTCTTAGTCGCGATTCTCTCGCGATTATTCCTTAATTGCTCCACCACTTGAGAAATTTCTATATCATTAATTTTAGTTTTCAAACGATTATATATACATATGTTTGAAGAATTATTTATGTGCTCGCGTGCGTTCTTTTTTTTAATAACGATATACAATTTTTTAATAACCATTTCGAGTAACGCTAACGGTATAAATCAAATCCAATCATGATTAAATCAACATTTTAAAAATGACAATGAAGAGGAAGGTAGATATACGAGGAAAAAATAAACAGCTGGAGAAATGTCAAATTCTATATATAGTTATATACGCTGACCATTTGTTCTTTATTTTAAAGGCCAGTCCTTTATTTCAAGTAGTTGCCCTTTAGATTTATTCATTTATCCAAAACTCAATTTTATCCTTAATTTTTCAAATTCTGTCCTTTATTATTTATTTAGCATTCTAATGTTTAGTATTAACAAGAGAATTTGTACAAAAGCAATGGAACCTATTTAAGAAACCAAGTATTTATTTCAACATAGTCGAATCAGTTTTAAACTATACATGGAAAAAGAAGAGTTTCTCTGATTAATATTTACTACAATAAAAAATATTAATATGTACATAGTAAAATTAATCAAACATATTTTATATCTTATTGTGGTAGATATTAATATTTTCTATTGCGGTAAATATTAAATATTAATCAGAGAAACTCTTACAAAATTTTTCCAATACCACGATTACCATGATTTTCAGGGTAAATTCTAAGAGAAAATTCTGTACCAAGAGTAGACATTCTTTGATAGAATCTCACAGAATTTTTTTAACTCATCGATCTCCACTTTGGTCCCAAACTGATTTGGAAACATGTTGCCGCAACTCTAAAATTTTCAGCCTTGTCCTTTATTTCCTCTCAGAAAATATGGTCACCGTAGCTATCTATATATGTAATATAAATTTCTACGCGATGGTTCGCTTCTTTGATTCTTTCTTGCTTCGAGTCCCTCGACTTGCTTTTTCTTCTGCCTCGTCTCTTACGTGTCTCTCTCGTTCGGGCGTAATTCCTTCAAGGTATCTCTCTCCTTCTTCAGCTCGTTGTTGCTTCTCGTTCTCTTTTCTTCTCTCTTTCGTCTTGGTCCGTCTCTGTCTTTCTCGTGTCATGATACCTCGCCATCGCTCGATTCTTTGTGCCTGCCGGGGCAGTTTCAGGCGCAGGTAGCACTCCGGATCTTTTTCCTCCTCCAAACAACACGGTGCACATGTATAAGTGCATGTCCTCGCGACGACGATGTAGGCAGCAGCTGCGCGTGTGTCAGTTTGGCTGCATCATGGCACAGTATGCTCGACACGTTCACTATAACGAGAAAATACTTTTAATAAATACGTTTCGTGAAAAAGAAAGAAGTTCGACGAGGGTTTAACAGGGTATAAATGTGCTCGGCTAGACTAGAAAGGCGAGAAATGTTTCACGTCCGCAAGAACCGACCTTGATAGAGTCGGAGCAAATTTGGTGATTTGCTATGCTACCTGTGTAGAACAGATGGCAGATCGATTGAAATACGTATAAAAATACTTTTTCTGAGATGTCTCCATTTTTCTAGCTTGATATCGAGAAATTGATTAATTAAGCTTGCATGACAGAATA